CTGCTTCCCACGACCAGCATTTTGTGGAGAAGTTTGCCGAGGAGATCTACACTTTTGAGAAGAGGCAGATGAAGCGGGTGGAGAGCATTGGGGAGTATGTCCTGGCCCTGCTTCCGGACCTGAAGACCCTTTAGGGTCTGAAGGGACGGATGCCGGCCAGGTGCAAATATCTATATCCAAAAGTGGAGCAAAAGTGGCGGTATTTGATATCAACTGTGCCTTTATGTGCTCAGTGAGAATGGTTGCAAAATTGTAGATACCTCACCACAAGTCAAGTCACGGTTGTGTAGACCGCAAGAAACCCAAAACAGCCGGCGTCGAGGCACGGCGAGATCCTCAAACTTCATTCAAACTCTACTTGGTGGGCATATTTCACCACTTTTCACCTCACGTCCACTTCACCTTCCTCTACAGCAGATACTCACAGACTCACACTTCCAGCCCACACCACATAATATTACCAGAGGATCAATTTCCCGCAAATCACAAACCCCTCCCGATGACGCAAACACGCAAACTGGCAAGGATGTCTTGGATGTACGGCTGCTAAACGTACCCCGTGCTAACCGCCTTGCCCCCAGATCACTAGTCGTCAATCGTAGAATAGAGAGTTCCAGGGAGACTAAGATGCCAATTCGTTGAAGGCCAATTGGACGCAAATTTGGGCTTTGGTGCAAAAATGTGAAAAAGCAGAAAACCAGAAAAACCCTTCACCTACCACTGCCTCGTTCACCTCGCCTCTCCACAACCTCGCCTCGTAGTCCACCGGCTCAGCCGGCTCAGCCACCGAGACCCCATTGTGAAAACGAAGGTTTCAAACGATCCACACAAAAGTTCACCTTTGACACTTTGATTTTCCAAATCGCCGATCCTCCCCACCCCATCATCCCATCACCCATAGACTCTGGTGCACCAGATCCCCAGACCTTCCCTCAACTCTCAACCTCTCAACCTCTCAAACTTTCCGTCTCTCAAACCGAAACCTTAATCACCGAAATCCCTAATCACGCTCGTTAGAGTTTTTTTAACCAACAAGGTTTTTTGCGTTTCCCTTAAACTTTAACGACTCCCCGCCACCGCCTCGTTAGCCGCCGTGTCGCCACCTGCTTCTCACGCTACATTCCATCTCAACGGCTGCAAAATGGTTGCTGCTGTTGTTTGCTCGGCAACATACATATACCCTTGGCGGTGCCGCAGCGGAAAAAAGTGACATTTTTCGATCCTCGCCGAATCTCCAGCCTGTTTTCCAAAATAATCCTCCCGTCGAGGCTTGGGGTTTCTGTATTCTTCGAGGTTACCGCAGCACAGCGCGTCTCGTATATTGCCGTCATCGCAGCTGAATCTAAAACTTATGCATAGCCTTCTTGCACAGCCATCATCACCATCCTTATAGACCAGCGGTACACATCCACCTGCTAACCATACAACCAAAGAACTATTGACAAGCTCGCCTTATAGCTACCCTCATATTGCTCCCACGCTGCCACCTCGACTTAGCTACTCAGCCTCATCTCCAACCCTCGAACCCAACACACGTCCAATTCCACCTGTTTTCTCCCACACCACCATGAAAACTCGGAGCCGCTTCGCTGTCGTGCTCCTCCTCGCCATAGGCGTCTTTTCCGTCTACGTCTGGCCCTCCAGAACGCTACATACGGTGCTGTCCTCGGACGTGCTAGCACTGCCCATGTTTCTGGATCACGGGTCCATGGAGGCCCTCTGTGCTTCGTACTTTGACGCTTTGGCGGCAGAAGCGCCTTTGCCAGCATCTTCGTCGACCTTTCTTCCCCTTACGTCCGTCACAAACCACGTGGAGCACCTCCGGATCTTCAACAGGTGCTACATCGAAAAAGGCTACCAGCTCACGCCAGCGGCCCGCCAGGCCGAACAGCAGCTCCTTCCGTTCTTCTCCGAGCTCTCCGTTCTGGCCGACAGAACGTCCTTTTTGAACGGCATCAAGCAGAAGATGGACGGCCGGGGGATCGTGGTGAGCATCAGCGATGCCGAGGTGGGTCGGGCGCTGAACTTGCTACGAGTGCTCAATCACCTCGGCAACGAGCTCCCGATCCAGTTTATCCACTTGGACGAGCTCTCGGAGGTTTCTGTGAAACTCCTCCGCTACGCTGCCATGCTGCCCAGAGCCTTGGGAAGAGACCAGCGTATTTCCTTTGTGAACGTGGGCAGGCACCTCGCTTCGGGCTTTGACAAGCACTTCAAGGGATACAACAGAAAGTGGTTTGCGGCGATTTTCACGTCGTTCAAGGAGATGATCCTCATGGACGCCGATGCCGTGCCCTATGTGGCGCCTGCTTCCTTCTTTGACCTTGAAGGTTACCAGGAAACGGGTGCTTACTTCTTCAGGGACAGGGAGCTCGACGTGCTACTCAAAAAGTGGAAAATCGACTTCTACAAAGGCCTTCTTCCGAACAAAAAGACGCCCTTTGGCTTTGAGGTTGACTCGGCACAGCTCCACAACAACTTCTTCCTTTTCGACTCCAAACACGTTGCGGAGAGCGGCGTTGTGGTGATGGACAGAGAAACCCATCTTCTGGGGCTCGTTATCCCGGTCGCCTTGCTGTACTTCAGAAAAAGCTCCAAAATTTTGTACGGAGACAAGGACTTGTTCTGGTTCGGCCAGTTGATCAGCGGAAACTCGAACTTCACGTTCCACTACAACACCGCCGGCGCCATGGGCCAAATAGAACCTACAGGTGAGGTTTGCCTGGCCCAGATTGCCCATTACGGTAACAATACGCTCCTTTGGTCCAACGGTGGTCTCACAAGGTGCAAGAAGCGGACCTGGGTCAAGGACTACTTGTGGTACTCGACCTTCAGGGAACAGTACGGCTCAATTGCAGAGCTCCGTGAGAGCTACAACAAGCCTGTCGAAGTATCAGAAATAATCATTCCTGCTGTTTTAAGCGACAAGAACGAGCCTGGAACGGGAAAAAGGCCCGTTTCCAACTTCAACAAGAGGGAAAACCGAGGCTGTGCCGCCACATACTACTGTGCCAACGCCATGGACGGCGGCCGGCTCATCATTCTAGATTCGGAGGCCAAGGCCCACATCAACACCGTCATCGACGTGTGGAACGACCATCATCTCTACGGTAATTTATAGATCAATTAATATGAGAGGCATTAAGAATTATGAACAGTCAGTAGGGGGATAATTAAGGGGGAAGTGAGGAAGTGGCTTTTAAGGCTTATTCCTTGGTGGAGCTTTGCTCTGAATCGGGGTAGTCGGTGACTTTGGCTGGGTCGATTTGTCTGACCTTGTTCTGGATGAACTTGGCAACGAAGGATGAGAAGATACTGATACCCAACATTCCCACAAGCACCATGTTCAGGCCCAAGTACATTCTGTCTTGATCGTTCTCCCAGCCATTGTACAAGGCGTACGTTGCTGTAACAGAACCGAGGTTACCAAGACCGGTAACCAAGGCAGCAGCACAACTAGCACCAACGTCACCATAACGGTTCTCGAAAATCTCAGCAGACCACGACATACAGATTGGAACAGTAGGGCCCAATCCGTAACCGGCAATAAGCAAACCTCCGTAACGGCTCCATGATCCGGGTGCAAAAGTGGTCACCACCATTCCAACGATTATGATCACACAGGCACCTGAAAAGAACAAGAACCTGTAGTTCTTCAAACGGTCTGCAAACGGCGTGATGGTGAGAATACCAAACAAGTCAAAGATCCAGATAGGAGCATACAAGAGGGAGACATCAATGTCGGAGAGATGGGGGTTCTGGACAGAAATGATGGTGGATCCGAAAACGGCAAGACCAAATCCGGTACCCACGACACCAAAGTACATGATGACTATAGGGTATAAACGCACGTCGGTAATAATCATCACAATGTCCTTCCAGCCCCAGTTCAACTTCCTCTGTCTGTCCATCATATCCTTTCTGTGGAGCTCCTTCTCCTCGGATGAAAGTGGATGGTTTGGGGTAAAGTACTTCCTCATGAACGTTCTGTAGACACTCGTTGGAGGTTCTCTCACCTTGAAGGGTCTATCGGGAAGCCACCAAAGCAAGGAGAAACCGGCAACAACGGTGATGCATCCATAAATGAGATAGAGCCATTGCCAGCCCGTGAACCCTCTCATGCCATCCATTTTCTGGAAACCAGCACTCACAAGACCACCCACAGCACACGAGATCTGAGCTGCCGTGAAGTAGTATCCCACTCTTCTGGTCATTCTGTGGTTGGGGTACCACAAGGTGATGTAGTACGACATACCTGGCCAAACACCAGCACCAAGAACACCTCCAAGGAATTGCACAGCATACAAACCTTGGTAGTTATCTAAGGCACAGTAGCAGGCGTAGATGAGACCCACCGATATCACAATACGAGCCAACCACGTTTGAGGACTCACCTTTGTCATGATAAGATTCATTGGCAAATCAAAGAGAATCGTACCGATGAAACCCAAAGCGTTGGCTGTGGAAAGGTTCAAGGGGCTCAAGTCCAATCTCTGGATCAAAGAGTGGCCCTCCTCTCTATTCATGGTCAATGTCACACCATAGGTGTTAGTGCCAAAGGAGGTGAGGAAGTAAAGTGTCCACAAAGCAGGAATGATCCTCCGGTCTAACTTTCTGTAAATTCTGTCAAGCTCCTGTTGCTCTTCAGCATTGGCGGCTTCAAGTTCCACAGTACTGATCTCATCAGTCTTGGTAAGGGAACTAGAGTCCTTGGAAGATTTAGGGGGGAGAACCATTTTTGCTCTGAAACACAAAAGCAGTGCAGAGGATGGCTATTTAACTGAATTTTTCACCCCAATCTGTTGGCTGGTCAAGAAAAATTTGGCCCTTGATTCATGCATTTTCTTGTCATCGGGCCCATTGTTGAGTCCTCATCTGTGCGGCTGATATGACTACGAGTCACCCAACGCTGCTCAATTTGAGTCACCCAACACAGCCAACACGACTCACGGTCCAATAAAGTCACAAAGTGAAAACCCCTATTTCTCAATTTTTCTCCTTTAGCGTCTACTCACATCTTTCCAGCTGACGCAAGACAAGTCCTTGGGTATCCTGTATCGGTCACCATCGTGGTACATGTACTTGTCATTGGCTCCCCACCCAAACGGTCCAGGTCCCCACGTAGGAGAATAGCAGATCTGGTCCCATGCACACGCCTCGTTACAACGGGTGAATATCGACCAGCGCAATACACCCATGAACTCTGAGAGCGCCTTTCTCTTTGAGAGAAGGGTCTTTTTGAATTCGTCATGATGGTCGCTGGAGGGCTCCACGTAAATATCGTGGAACATATCTCTGCTGGTGTAGTATATGTCAAAAATGTGGGTCATCAATTCGTGGGTGATTTTGTAGATGGAGGAGTAGATCAAACTCTCCACGCTGGTGGTCAATGGGTAAGTATGGGAGGCGTAGTCCTCTACAGCCTTCTTGAAGGCGTCTTCCCGTTGGGCATTGTCGTCTCTGATGTCCCTTGCGGCGTACCGTCTGACAATGTTGTAGGTGATTCTCGAGAGGTCACCCACGGCGTTTTCCAACGGTTCGCCAAGATCGCCCTTGTCCAGCTCGTTCTCAAACACACGGAACGCCGTCTCCAACATCATCAACAAAGGCGCAAACTTCTCTTCCAAGCGCCCCGTGACCAATTGCCAGTCGGTCTTCTTGTATGGCTCTGCAGGCTCAAGCATGCTTTTGCGGACATCGCTGATGAGGGTCTCCTTTTCATTTTTGGAAAGAGTAAGCAAACGGCGCATATAGGGGTCGGGGTCCATCCACGTCTTGTTGTGAGGTGTGACCATCTTGGAGTAGTCAAGCAAGATCCGGTTTTCTCCGTCGTTGACATGAGCACCCGAACTGGCCCACTCCCAGCTGTTCATGTGGGCCCAGGAGTCGACAAGTTTCTCCCTTTTCTTCTCAAGCGGAGTTTCAGCTTCTGGCTTCTCGTTGGGCAAATGAGCCAAATCGGTCACATTCGCCAAAGACACATTTGCAGCAAGCTCGATGCCGTCGTGGAAGTCACAGAGCACCATCTCAAAGCCCACTTCCAAGCGAATATAGCCCTGGAGCCCGAAGTCCTTGCCCCACTTGCAAATCACATCTGCAGCAGTGTACTCGTCTACAATGCCATCGTAGCTGTCCTGGTTGCTGAGCACCAACTGCTGGTCCATTTCGCCTGAGGCCGTTTTGGCGGCAGACGCGCCCTCCAAGTAGATGATTTTGTCCAAAGGCTTGGTGTTTCTGAAGGTGTAGAGGTACGAGTCTCCACGAGGTTTTCCAAACTTGCCGGGCAACTTTGACGCGTGTGGTTTCTTGGGGGGTGGTCCAAAGTGCAGCTTTTTGCCCCTCTGGAAGCCTGCAAAGCTGTAGCTGAACTCCCAGTCCATGGCGATCCACTCGAACGTTTCTGGAATCTCAGGCTGAGACGTGGAGTGGTACATCAACGTGTTTGGCGGGATGTAGGCTGGAATGAAGGAGACGCCCACGGGCATCAAGTTGGAGTCTTTCTGCTTCAATGCCCCGTGGACCGTGTTGAAAACAGCCGAGGCATTGAGCAAGTCCACCGGGTGTGCTTTGTACCAACTAGCAGCATCGATGTGTTGAGGATCGGAGTGGTGCAAAACGGGGATGGACGAAAACAGGACGTTTGAAAGCGCCCACCACAAAAGCACGGCGTTGAGCAGCAACGAGATCCAAAGGTACGGGATGGTCATGAAGAAGGACTCGTTATCGATGTGGTAGATATGGACCGACATCGGCGCGCAGATGGAAAAGATAACGGAGCCGATGGAACAGGGATCCGCCGGAAAGGGAAGGTACGGATCCGGGGGCGGAGCAGGAGAGTTTCTTTTGTTTGGAAAAGTGGAAAAATAATAGTTGCTGGCTTTTTATAGGATTTGGGAGTTTGGAGTTTGGGTTGGTGGTGGATGGCTGCAAATGAGACACGGCTGCGTTTCAGTGCGGGGTGGACCCTTCACAGGGTCTATAGAGAAGGATATAAAAAGTTAGTTTTCGATTGGAAGTTGAAAATAGTATGGAGGTGACTGTAAATTCGTTTGTTTTTGGGATTGGGCTTCTCTGGATGGAGTGGCTGGTTTGGTGGTGGAGGCTTTGTGATGCGATGGTGCATAGGCGATGCGTCTGTGGCATTATGATGGAGTTGACAGCTGGGGTGGTGGGAATTTGGTTAGTCGATAGAGATTTTTGATTGGAATTTATTCAAGGAGTTTCATTGAACCAGTGGTTTACAGGTGGAGGTGATGCTTGTTCAAGTGGTTGTTGGTGAGATGAGGATGGGCAGCATTTAAGCGATCAGCGTCATGGAAGTCTGCAAAGAGTAGCCTTACTTGTTGAGGTCAGTGCATTGAAAGTAGGATCACCAGCTCCTCAATGGCACTTGCTTTTGATATGGGGGCTTGCAGCAAAAGGCAGTGAATGGACGTGAATGCTGCAACAGCGTATTACTCGAAGGGCTGCTTCTCGATGAACGACCAGATTTGCTTCAACCTAGATTGCACCCGTGTTGTTGAATGCTTGTATGAATGATTTGTCACGCTAATCTCTTTGTAAGCTCTAATCTCTTTGTTAGCTCTATGACTCGTGGTGATCTGCGTAAGACAATGGTGAGCAGCAACGGTGCAAGGGTACGAGTCTAATGTGAAAACGCTGTGTCTTGCTTTTAGGCATTTCACGAATGGGGTCCCTTTTAAGCTCAAAGCCTGTTCTGGTAATTTTGAGTTGATCATCATCACCATCCTCTGGCCTTTTGAGGATCTTTCACTGAATATGGGAAGACTGTAGTAGTTCGCTGAGACTGCCTAAATCAGAACCATATATAGTCATCACCGTCTTTCAAGCACCAATCAACTTGCTATCACTGCGATTTCTGAATCTGAGATCGTGTAGGTTATGGCACCCAGACTCTTCTGCGCCTCACATGTAGATTATGGGGTGCGACTAAGTCCTCGTCCAAAGTCGCCACAAAGACCCCCAAAATCTCCAGAAACCAAAAATTCATAATTCTTCACCTTCATTTATACCCCCTCCATTCACCTTCACTCAATTGCCTCAAATCTGGATTTTTGGTGGGTCTTCGTAATTCTCACCTTTTGAGTATACCACCAATATGCACTGATAAACTGTGAACACCACCCCATCTTCTGAAGTACACGATAATATATATATTTCAAGAATGTTCTTCAAAATCATTCATCGACTCCACTACTGTCAAAACCCTCTAGGCCAACCACTCAATTGCAAAACCCTCACCAAATCCTACTCAAAGGACGGTCCGCCCACCTTAGCGCATACCAACCCATAATGCCCTTTGTGCAACGACTTCTTACACATGCAGCAAGCATTTTGGACCCCTCCTATTGGTCCCGGATGCTCCGGGCACTCAAGCCCTGAAAACTGCAGAACCACCGATTCCCCTTTTCTACACCCCAATCTGGGCTCATTTCGTAGATTCCTATAAACTAAGCAGAAGCACCCACAACGTTGGCGTCCAAACGTCTGTAGCCTCCACAAGCTTTACACTCCTCCTGGATCTTGCCAATCAACTTCTGAGCCTCCAATGGGTCGGCAACCTCGGTGGGCTCCTCCCAAGAAAGATACTCGTTGGAGTAGTTGGGCTCATAGTCCGCAGGCAAAATGTCCAATCTCTTACCATAAGCATTGACCTTTCTCCAGTCACGGTGCACGTTGTACAAGGAGTCGGAGAAGTAGGCAAAGCAACGCTCGAACATCTTGCCGTTGAGCTTGGAGGTCATCTGCGGCTTGAAGTCACAGTACAAGTCCCAGGCCTCCTTGGGGTTGGAGAGCATGTAGTCGGTGGACTTCTTGAGCGCCTTCATGATGCGACGAACCTTCTCGGGGTTCTCTTTCAAGAAGGTGTCGTTGCAGATGTAGAGAATGGTACAGAAGCAGCAGCAGCCCAACTCGGCCAATTCGTCGATTCTGAGCATCTTGGCCTCGGAGGCGGACCGGCCTGACTCCTTGAGGTACTCCTCCAACTCCACCTGCTGGATACACTCAATGCCAATACCAGCGTCGATTTTACCCTCGATGATGTACTTGGCCACGTTCATGCCGCATCTGACGGCAGTGTAGTCGTCTGGCGACATGCCATAGTGCTTGGTCAACTCGTCAACTTGGATCTTGCCGAACTCGCCAACATAGCCGATTCTCTTGCCCTTCAAGGACTTGAAATCGTCGGTGACGCCCGAACCTTCCAAGTACAAAATACCGGTGAAGGGTTCGTCCAAAAGAGAGCCCACAGAGGTGACAGGGAAACCACGTGCCTTGGCAGCCAAGGTGTGGACCATGGCCTTGAGACCCATGTCGATCTTGCCTGAGCCGATAAGCTCAGTGACATCGGATGGGTTGGAAGGCTCCAAAATCGAGACATCCACGTTTTCCTCCTTGAAGTAGCCCTTCAATTGAGCGAGGTACACGGGGATATGGTAGGGGGTGGCCTGCCAGTTGAGACAAAAAGATACTTTTTCAGTAGACATGTTAGAGACGGTAGAGAAGAAGGGAAAACGGGCGCCAAGGGGGTTTAAATACTCCGTGGGATCTTGCTTGTCCCGTAAGCGCATAGGGCTTTCGGGAGTACGGCCCCTGAGTCGTCCAAAACCTCTGGACCTCTTGGCTATGCTCCTATTGTACCAGTATGTCTCAGAGTATCGGGCTGTTTAATGTGCGCAAGGCCTCGCCCCGTTAGCGCATATACGCTAAGGGGTCTTATCTCGCTGCGCTCTCTTAGCAGGGTAAGAGACATGCGCTTAGGGGACCCCATGCACTATCAGGATCGCTGTCAGAAAATGACCCACATGTTCTTCTTCCGATTGAAATACTGAGTTCGCCTGTAGACGCTGGGTGTGCCTTTACGAGGTATCAAGAAAGGCTGATGAAGCCGCACTATCGTAAATGGCACCCCATCCGCCTCGCTTGAATTGAAAAAAAAACAGTGCGTTTTCAACTTTTCGGGAATTCCCATTGCTTTGTATCGTGGCGTCCTTTTGTAGTTTTTGACTAGTAAAAAGTAGTCAGGGATCAGCGCAGGGCTCGTAGCACGGAAGTACTCCTGCTAAAAGATCCTCCAACCTTTGAATTGAAGCCCTGGTCCGGATATTCAGGGGTGGTTTGTAGACTGAGATACAAAGAGTAAGTTGCTATCTGAATCGGTTGGACTTGCGGATTGGGCATTGTCCAAAAACGGTATCCGAACGAGCCGATTGGTTGTGATTGACAGCCTGTGGTCTAGAGGATCTTGGTCCAAATGTGAACAATAGTGCACCAGGTGCTCAGGGAGGCGTCAGCAGAATTTGGATCGGAATTATTCAGAAAGTATTATTGGACAAAACGTTCCGCTGCATTGGGGCCCGGAGTATTAAGCAACACTTTCATTGCTTCCGGGATTGTCAACCAAGGACACAGGTTTGAAGAACTTGTTGGAGGGACAAAACCGAATAAAGCATAGGAAAGTTCGACGTTTGCTGGATGAAGTTTCTCTAGGTCATTCGAGCGAGATTTTTTTGTTTATGTTCCCCTGAGTTCTTGTCGTTCTCATACTCTATTTTTTTATGCATAAAGCGAGACCTGGTATGACTGACTTTGACTAATCTTTCTGCAACATTAATCGAAAGTCCTATGCCACAGCTGGTATCCTTTTGGAATATTAATTGCTTCGTTCGATTGTTCCCCTGGTTGCTCAAAAACGGAGTGCTGGATCAGGGCTTTTGTGATATCAAATTAATTTCACAAGGTGGAAACAGCCACTAAATCCACAATTGTGTCATTTTAATTGTGCTGGCTGGCACTTGCTTTTTTTAAGGCACAAAGAAAATTAAACTGGGACATGCAGCTCATTACAGGACTTTAGTAAAAATTTAGACATCAAAATGTGGTGATGTGGACATATTGAGATACTTGGTATCCCCTGACATTTGCTATTGTGGTTGAGAGTCAAGGATCCAGCCCATAGCGGTTATTTCCCAATGGTCTGTCTGCATTGAGTAAGAGGACTGGCCAAAAGGTGAAAGATTGCTACAAATACTGCAAGACAGTGTGAACTGCGTCTCGTTTCGGGTTTCCATGGCCCAAAACGCTTTGCAGCACGGCTGTCAAAGTATCCGGATTTCCTCGGAAATAGCAGGACGGACTTACTGGTGGATTAAAGTTGACAAATTGTTTCAAGGAATCGACATGAATTTAGCGTACCAAGGTCAGAACACGCTTTCTGTTAATATTGTGTAATTACGTAAAGTACCAAGACAGAACGCTTGATGCCTAATGTAGGCCCCATGTACGCCAGGTTTGTTACCTCAACCGATTCGGTGTAACCTCGGTCTAGGGGTTCAACCCATTTGTCGGAAATTGCAGGGTCAGTTGCTTGGCTGCATGCAAGTATCAATTCAAAGCTCATCAAAATCCGTTTTTGATGTTTTTGATTGCTATCACGATCCCGTCGCCGGATAAATTCGTATGACAGCCTGTTAAAAAAGCCACACTGTTGTTCCACCAGCTCACTCACAGCTGTAACTGGCATACAGGGGACGCATGCATGCACAGCGGACGCACGATAAGCCTTCTCTTCGTTACGAGTCTCGCTAGGGACATGCAGGTCGCTTCGGTAATGAGGGAAATACTTTTGTCCAGCTCGCGTTACGAATATCCGGTAAGCCCTGAAATCCCGACCCCCGAACCCTGGTGGCTTCGAGGCAGGCGCTAAAAAATTAACGTTCGAGCTCAAAGGAGGGGAAGAATTGGACTAGCCTCCATTGTAAAAATTTAGAATTCAAGCCTTCAACTACAGTAGGAAGAGTTATGAGAACGAACTAGCACAAGAGCTTTTTGTAACTCACCCATAGAACCTGCCAGCCTGAAGTTCACTTCTTAGGCGCCTCTTCCTTGTTCTTGTTTCACATGATGGCCTGGGGTGAATTTTGTCAATTTTAACCAGTCCGATAGCAAGCATCCAGCATCCATGTAACCCCCGGAGTAAACCCGTTCTCATCAAAGAGGATTTAGCCATCATGCTGGTCAATTGCTACCAGAGGACGCAAAATCGCGACTGTGGCTACTATAGTTTCAAGGCGTCTATAGTTGAGACAAGGCGGGATAAGATTATGCCAAAACAAAAATACGACTGTTTGGCAACAGAGGTGCATTATCACGGAGCATACTTTGAAGAAAAAAAAAGTTTATTGTAAACATCAATAAACATGCCCACCAGCCTAAGTGGTCTGACTGGGTCAATGGTGATCTAGACAAAAGTCGGCCAATATTGAACCTCCCGCATGCACAAAGACAATGCCCACTTTTGTATCCCTAATTTCTGTATAGCTGACTCTGATCTTGCTCTCGTGTAGTTGTAGGACAAAATCGCCACCATGTGGAGGCCTGGCACACGCCCTGAGATTCTGAAGTACCACTGCGGAGCAACAATTTTTAGACAAGGCATTTCTTTGACTCTTTTGGACTTTTCAGTCCCGGAGCGGAACAACAATTCAGCTTTAGCGCTTGCACCTCGAATGTCAACTAATAATGGTGTCTATAGCTCCCCATGGTACCACTAGTAGTCTCCAGACCATATAGGTGAGGGTGCGTTTTTCATACATAAGCGAGATGCGTTTGCAAGCACACGTACGTATGTTGTCGGAAGCACATGATTTTCGAAAAGCTTCATTGAAGCCTAGTGTCGAGGAATTCTAGCTGGTGTAATGGAGCCCACATGTGGAGCGGTTCCCGCGGTTTTCCATAGTCTGAAGTACTAAGCCTCAACGAATTTAACAGGCCGTAGTTACAAACAAAATCAAATTGAGCACGTTTTTGGACAATTTAGGGCCAGGGCCTCGGCTAGCCCATTAGCTACACTTACGGTTCACGAAACACGAGCCTTGGCTAGCCCTGGTTGCCCCAGAACCACAAAGTCCACAAAGACGGAGAAGAAAGAATAAGCGCTTTTTCAAAGAAACTATGAATGAGCAGATTGTTGCGCTTCCATTCTTTGAGCTAAAAGTCGGTCTCGGAGATAACCACCGGTGACGTTGTCTTATAATCCAAAAGCAGTAGGCCATGCATAGCGGAGAGGTCAAGTAGGCTTGGAAAACAAACAGCAGCGTGTGTAGCTGCATAACACACCGTCGTAGTATCAAGCCTCGAGTGTGGAGTCTGGCTCGCCTAAAAAACTATATGATGCTGGCCCCTAAGCCTTTCTGCAGGGCTCGCTTAAAGGCACATACGTTTGAAGTGCATCGGTATGCATATGCACGTACTGCGGCGCAAGAAGCATCGGTGCATAAGGACGCATACGCTGCGACAGGCGCTAACATCGAGAGGTTAGGCCAGAAACACCCTTGACCAGGCTTGTTCTTTGATTGCTGGCCGCTATTTTTGGAATTACATGTAGTAGTTGCGGTAAAGCGGTTAATTTGTAAGGGCCCCATGTGAGTATACCATGTAGTGTTCGCAGAATTTAACGCAAAGTCAGGAGAACCAGGCCACGTTTGGAAATGGGGATTCCCGTTCTGAAAAAAACGGAGCAACAATTGATCAAATTGGGACGTTGATCAAGTAAGATATGCGTCCGGGGCGTCCTCGGAGGATGCAGGGCACGTAGCGGATAGTTGGATTTTGCAGCCACAGAAACCGCAGTTCCACAACGCTTCAGAACTATATAAACCTGGGCCGAATCCAGCCCTACCAATTTTTTTTTCTCCATCAACCGCTTCAATGACTTTGATCTCCAAGTTCAGTAGCACTTTGGCTACCACACTCGCTTTATTGTCGACCGCCTACGGTCTTGACATCAGAGAGAACACCATCTACCGTGATCTCACCTCCGCCGACTTCAAGGACCTCTACATCGAGCAGGGCACCTTCTTGACCCTTCTCGACATCGGTCAGATCACCAACGACGGTATCTTCTACAACAGAGGAGAGTTCTACGTCGCTGCCGACAACTACAAGGCCGTCAACTACGCCCAGACCGGCTCCACCTTCAACAACGACGGTAAGATCTCGTTCGACTCCAGAAACTCCAACGACATTGGTAAGCTCGACATCAGAGTCCAGGACTTCAAGAACGACGGTGAGATCTGGGCCGGTACCTCGGACTCCAAGTGGTTCCCCAAGATCTCTCTTCAGGGTACCAAGTCCTGGGAGAACAACGGTAAGATCTCTTTTGCTCAGTCCCGTGGTGACCAGGGTGACGTTGCCTTCACCGACCTCTCCTTCGACATCACCAACAACGGTGTCATCTGTCTTGAGAACGTCAAGTGGGCCCAGTTGCCTTCTGTCAAGGGTCCAGGTTCCATCACTCTTGGTGACAATGCTCGTATCGAGTTGAACAAGATCCTCACCATCCAGGACAGACAGACCATCTCTTTCAGCGGTCTGGGCGCCACCCTCTACATCTTGGGTTTGACCGAGTCGCTTACCGGTACCAGATCCTACAACGTTGCCGGTTTCGGTGGTGACAACCGTATCTACATCAACCTCGGCTACACCTCCCACACCTACGAGGGCGACACCTTGTCGCTTTCCTTCTTCCTTGGTCTTTTCAAGATCAACTTCGTGATTGGTGAGGGCTACAACGCCGACGGTTTCACCAACGACGGTATCTTTGGCGGTGGTTTCACCATCAAGTACAACGGTGAGGCCCCATCCCCAGTTCCAGAGAAGTTCTTGTGTGACCCCTTCCCAACCCCAAGAACCGCTGCTGACGTGACCTCGTCTGCTGCTTCCCTGGCCTCTTCTGCGCTTTCTTCGATTTCTTCGTCGCTTGCTTCTGAGGCCTCTTCTGTGAGTTCCGAGCTTGCTGTTTCTGCCAGCTCTGTGGCCTCGTCTGTTTCGTCTGCGGCCACTTCTGCTTCTTCTGCTGTGTCTTCGTTGTTGTCTGCCTCCACCTCCGACGCTGTCGACACTGCTTCTGGCTTGAGCGCTTCTACTTCCGATGCTGTGGGTTCTGCCTCTTACCAGGCCTCTTCTTCTGACGCTGTTGGATCTGCTTCCTACCAGTCTGCTTCCACTTCTGACGCTGTTGGATCCGCTTCTTACCAGGACTCCTCCTCCACCGACGTCGACACCGCCGAGTATAACTCTGCCTCCTCCTCCACCGACGTCGACACCGCCGAGTACCACTCTGCTCCTACCACCGTCACCACCGACATCTTGACCACAAACTCGGACGGCTCCGTCTCCACCATCACCGGCGAGATCATCGTCACCTACGGCTCGGACGGCTTGCCAACCACCCACACCGAGTACTCCATCGTGCCTTCTGCTGCCTACACCACTGCTGAGCCTACCACCTACACCACCGACGTCGTCACCACCAATTCTGACGGCTCTGTGTCCACCTACCCAGGCGAGGTGATTGTCTCTATTGGTCCAGACGGAAAGCCCACCACCGTGACTGCTGCTCCCGGTGTGACTGCTGCTCCTACCACCTACACCACTGGTATTGCTACCACCAACTCTGACGGCTCTGTGGGTACTATCCCAGCTGAGATCATCGTCTCTGTCGGTCCAGACGGCAAGCCTACCACCTACACCTCTGCTGTGGGTCCAGACTCCACCGTCACCGAGGGCCACACTCTTACCCAGTGGGAGACTCACTGCCCAGTCTGCCCAGGCGGTGTTTCTTCTGTTTCCGGCTGGGTCTACACCAAGACCCTCGAGGGCACCGTCACTCTCACCACCGAGGTGTGTCCTCCAGGCGCCACCTACACCGAGCCAACCGGCGATGTTCCAGCTCCTGCTCCTACTGAGCCTGCTGCTACCGAGACTGCTCCAGGTCCAGCTCCTGCTTCCACATGGACCAAGGTCCACCACGGCACCACCGAGTCTGGTGTGGTTGATTCCACCGTCCAGGGCACCAAGACCGTCTACCTTTCCTCCACCTTGCCTAAGGAGACTGCTCCAGCCTCCACTGCCCCAGCTCCAGCTCCAGAGGGTTCTGCTCCAGCTCCTGCTCCAGGCAAGCCAGCTCCTTCTTCTGCTGCTCCTTCTGCTCCAGGTGCCCCAGCTCCTTCTGGTGCTGCTCCTTCTGGCCCAGCTCCTTCTGCTTCCGCTCCTGGTGAGCCAGCTCCTTCCGCTCCAGCTCCAGCTCCAGCTCCAGCTCCAGGCTCTGAGGGTCCTGAGCCTTCTACTGTTGCTGGCGAGAGCACCCCAGCTCCTTCTGTTGCTCCAGCCTCCTCTGCTCCTCCAGCTCCTGCTGTGTCTTCCTACGAGGCTGGCGCTGCCGCCCAGGTCGTCAACTACTCTTGGTTGTTTGCCTTGGCTGGTCTTGCTCTCTTCTAAGCGAGCTGAAGTTTGAGCTTACTAATGGACGTTTCTGCTGGCCGGGCTCTGCCTGGCCTTCTTCTTCTTTCGCGGTCTTGACGACCCTTCCTTTCGCTATATACTTGCGCCTGGCGCCTTTGGACTCGCTCCACTTCTTACGAGACTAATACACTATAAAAATACACCGATGTAGCGGCTTTCGATATCTGCCGATGGAAACGGCCGTCCTGGCCCCAGCAACGTGCTGGAGGTACAAAACAAAAAAGCATAAACTTGAAGTTTTTCATACTCTAAAAATTATATTGATGGAGACTAATACACTATAAAAATATAATGATGTAGCTTTCGATAACTGCTGATGGAAACGGGCCGTCTTGGCTCAAGCCAGCAACTTACCAGCAGCCACAAAACAAAAAAGCACAAATTCGAACGTAAGAGTTTTTTTGTGTCGAATTTTCCACCATTCGGTATTTTTCGGGGCATGCCTATACCCTGCGAAAACTCACTCCCAAAACCCGCCCTGACTCCACAAAATAAACCACACGCAATTGAGCCTCAGCACTCCCAATCCGGAGCTTTTTGTGGAGTAACCTCTGGGGCTGCAAACCTCATACCTTGTGGGAGACCCTAGCGAGTTGGGTTTAGCACCTCATGCAGCGAGGCACTGGCGAACCAGAACGGCGCAGCGCGCCAACCTTATTTGTACGTTGGAATCGATCGAGCGTCACTTTCACATCACCCCAAAGATTGAAATCTTAAACTGATGATCTTAGCTTTTTAGTGGTTGTTTAGATCAGATCCCAAGTATGCAGCTGTCAATTAGATGCCAAAACGTCTCCTACTTCTTCTGGACGCTTGGCACCGCCTTTTAAGCACAATGCATCGCAACGCCTTTCCGGGGGTTCCCTGGCAATTTGCATACGCAGTAGGGGTCGCCTGGATATGTAAGGTGACTGACGTTTAGACGAGCGAAGAGACCGCATGAGGTAGGGAATGCGGCATATGCACCTCTCACAGCGACCGTGCATATTCTTGCATAGCCGTGTAAATGCTTCCATCGCGGACTGCCGGCATGGTCTCCGGTAGGCACAGTTTTTAAACAACATTCCAAAGCCTAATTTTGTGTCAGTGTGCATACGATAGTCAAGGCTTTGAAGCAGAAACGTTTTCTCTGGGCTTTTAGGGATTCCGGTTTGTTTGGATGATTTGGAAAAGCCCATGTGTTGTATCAGTTGGCTGGATCGAGATGAAAGACATGCCCTGTATGCCTGAAGGTTATGGGAATAGAGTTTTCGGGAAATTGGTGGGGAAGGTATAGCCCGGTTGCCGAGGATCTAATTCTTTTAGGCTAGCAGACTGAGCACATGAGATCGAATGACTCCTTCAGAGAGTGGAAGAATTCATGGTTTTGGTGTTGAAGGCAAGACTACAATAAATTTTATATAACTTTGCCGGAGTCCCGAATACTGAACATCTCCTTGCTTTGTGCTAAGAGGTGGAAAGGGAAACCACGGTATTACACCAACATCAGAAATTGAAGAGAAGACTAGCCCCACAAGTCTACTCAGCCCAGAAGCCAATGAACTATCAGATGATTCTATCGCTTCATCTTGCCTGAATCGCTATTCTCCAAATAGAAGTGCTTACGCCTAAACTTCAGCCAGATGCTAAATGTCAAAAACGCAAGAAACTAAAAAGCTTAAGACGTCGCCTTTTCCCATACGGATACATTTCCGAAGGCCAAGAGATTCATGTGACAGACAGGCTGTCAACCCTCCAAACTTAAACCTAAAACTTAGGCTTCAAGGTTTTGACGCAAGGGTTTTGAGCTTCAAGATTGTGGGGTCTGCAAGATGCATCGAGATGACCTGATGTAAGCAGCATGAGGTACGAGGATAGCTCGAAAGAGGAAGTTGAGTGGATGGAGGTTCGATTTGGTTGAGGAATCACCCATTGTGAGAAAGAGATGAAGTGGGTCATCATACTGATGAAGTGGGATTTCACATCGGGCCAATTTTCACACCCAAGGAACGAATGCCATAGTTCCTGAACCTTCAAAAGTCCCACAGGAATCCCCACGGATCAAGAAACAAACCGTTCAGCTCATGAGAAATGATTCCATAGAACAGGCCACTGAGAGTAAACCCAGGCAACAGTGAGAGCTCATCCATTCATCACACCAGCATTATGTGAACCATGGCTCAATATCCAAAAGAACTGAGCAAGAAACAAGCCTCTAGGTATCCAAGCACCACGTGAATGCTCTGTTAATCCCCCGGCAATGGCACCACCGGCCCGTCCAGTTTCTGCAGACGAACTAATCCATGCTGAACCGCCTATTTGACCACTAAAGATTACTAAAAGTCGGAGGCTTCTCGGACATAGCACGAATCGACCACTACAGAAATCTTCCAACTCTTTTTTTTTTTTAAAAACGAAGCATAGCAGAAACTGCCACTAGACATCCTCGGAGCTTGTTTCCTCAGACTTCTCCTTCTTCTCTGTCTCCTCCGACAGCGAGGACTTGTCGCCTGATTCCTCGACCTCCGGCGAAGGAACAGACTCCGAATCCTCCATCAACGCTTCCCGAAGCTCCTGGGAAATCATCTTGACTCTTTCCCGTCTGCGTCTGGTGTTCTCCCTGCGCCTTCTTCTGTGGTTTTCTCTCAGCGAGAAGCTTTCTCTGTGGTTGCTTCTTTTCAAGGTGATTATCTCCAACGGAGCATCCTTGTTGGGGCCATTATCTCCCAAAACCTTCTCTAGGGAAGACAACACGAGCTTTTCCGTGCCACGGCCAAGATGCAACGATAAACTGCACCCGTGCTCTTCAATGAACTCGTAAAGTTCCGAATCCTTGGGTTTAGCCATACTGGCCAATTCCTCCTCGGCAGAAGTCGCCGACAGGCTGTTGAAAGAAATAAAGGCGTTGGAGGTTTCTGCACTAGCACTGGACAACCAGCTGTTGATGTGGGAATTGGGACACAGTTCTGGAGAACTGGCCAGAGCGATGGAGGGTAACCCTAGATCGAAACTCAACAGCGCCTTTGTCTGGTCAGGGTACAAGAAGTTGAGGAAACGGCGGGTTTCGTCATATGTGACGGCATCTTCGCCGTTTGTTTCATCCGCTTCAGGAACCAACTGGACTGGACTGCTACATGGATCGAGATCAAAGTCCTGTTTTGGCGAGTCGATGATCACAGACGGATAAGCGCCGTTTGAATCCACCTCGTTTTCGTTGGAATCTGGAGTGGGAAGACTGGTGCTAGAAGGTTCAGACTGGTCCTCCTCAAGACGACTTCTCGACCTCAACGCCTCCAAGATACCGACAGCATTCAGCAACGGCACGTTTTCCATCCACGAGTTTGTTTCAAAGATGGATTTGACGGCGCTGTAGTCGTAAATGACGGGTTTGCCGTTGGGCAGAAACCCACAGAAACGGTACTCCTTGTCGCCCTTGGTGAAACCCACCTCAGGCCATTTTCGAGGCGACAACGAGGCGGCGACCAAGAAATGCTTCAAAAGAGGCAAGGGGAACTTCTCCGTCATTTTGGAAAAGATGTTCTGGACGAAATTCAGCCGTCTCTGGCGTGTTTCGGTGGAAATCTCGGATTCGTCCTTGGCTGCAAAAACAGGCAACTTCAACGGGTTGAACATACACAGAGGAGCGCTGAGGGCGTCGTAGTCGAAGGAGAAGTTCCTGTGGATGACGCCGGCGTCGACAGAGTAGGCTACGGTGATGGGGATGGGCATGGAGAAAAAAGAGTGGTATGAAGAGGAAGAGAGGGTTTCTCGCGAAGCGGCCTTTTATAGTCGAGGGGGGCCACCAAGAAACCACCAAGAAACCACCAAGAAAAAGAAAGCTTGATTCAGAAATGGGTGGTATTGGATTGATGGGAATGACGTGGGAGAGGAGGTAGAGGCGTTGTTTGGGTGTTTTGTCCTTATTTGGGTGTGTTGTGTTGATAGGGTCAGTATAGTTATGTCATAAGCATTGAGACTTCGAGTTGGGCATCTCAGAGCATCAAACCCAATTTAAGACTTTTCGATGACATTGGCTTCTTCTTACTTTGAAATAATCCGAATAGTGGTCTCCTAGAGCTTCATTGGTAGTCCCAGAGCTTTATTGGTATTGGGTGCTACAGAGGTGAGACCGTATAGTGATATGATCCCATTGATGATTCACCATTACTGTCGCCATCACCATCGCCATCACAACTACCATCACAGCCAAGTACCTACGCTTCATTTGGACCCGGGACCTAGCCCAAACCAACCTACAGTCTTGCATTCAAAACATCATCTTAAGCAGCCCTTTAAGACTATACAGAGACACGGGTCACAAACCCGCCTCCGCCTCACAACCGACTCTGCCGGCTCAGTCATAAGTGGCCCTCGAACACCTTGGTCAATTCCTCGGGCAGCGAGCCGCTGGAGACACTGCCGTCCACGATACCATCGACACTCACGGTGGGAGTCACATGGACACCGACGCCTCTCAAGTACTTGGTGAAGTACTTCACGTCAACGGTGGCGCCATTGCCGTCGTTGCTGGCGTCCAGCGCCGACGAGGAGGCAGGGATCTCCAACTTCTTGAGCACATCGGCCTTCTCGAAAGGAAGGCTCACCGCAGCAAACACCGTCTCATTGATCTTCTTGTAAATATCGTTTCTGCCAAGGCTGACGGTGGCAGAGTCGTAGAACTCCTCCTTGTTGCTGAAAAGAGCGTTGGAGACACCCCAGAAGAGCTCGTTGGACTTCTCGGGCACCTTCTCCCTCAACAACTGCGCCACCACCAACGAGTACTCGTGCAAGAGAACGGAATTGGGGTGCCATGGCTGGATCACATTGACAAACACAAATTGGAATCCGCCAGGGTGCTTCTCGTCTAGCGCTGGGATCACCTTGAGAAGCTTCTGGAACAACTTGCCCGAGAAGGGGCAATTGTAATCAAGGTACAAGTTGACCACGTGGGGTGCCGAGGTCACTTTGGAGCGCCAGTAGTGGGTCAATGCGTATTTTGGGGAGATCATTGAGGATGAGTAGTGGTCTAGGAGATGTTGGTTGGTGAAGTTGCGACCGCGAAGTGTGGCTCAGGGTCCATGCACAATGGGTCGGATATGGAGACATGGAACACAGCAAACATGGTGATTTTGATTGTGACATTGTCGTGATGGTTGCTTTTTAGTGCAATTGACTGTTGTTTCTCTGATTTCAAATTTACTCCGAGAGAACGGAGTTTGAAGCCTGGTGACGTAGATCTGTTGGCGTAGATGGGCTGAACGGCATAACCAATGATGAAAGTATAAAACCCACTCTTCTCTCTCATGCACTCTGGGCCTCGGCTGATTTCTCTAGCTGCTCTCTCCGCTCCTTCAATTGCTGCGCTAGCGATTTGGGAGGTGGAGTTTGTGGTTGAGCCTCAGGCCTCGTGAGCTTCAGATACATGGGGTTCAACTTGACGCGTTTGTTTTGTCCCTGTTTCGCTAGGGCAGGCTTCACTGACGTAGGAAGAGTTCCCACTTTCTTGGGAAGCGTTTGCGGAGGTGGTCTTTGTGGCATTTTCTTTGGAATCGGTTTTGCAGCAGGCCTTTGCGAGGAAGACGGCTGTTTCGGAGACATGATCTCCTTTTTAACCGTGATCTCTTGAGAGCTTCTCACTGCAAAGTCGTTATCCAGAAGCAGAGATTCCATTACCACTCCAGGAGGCAACACCACACTCGTTTCAGGAACCATCAACTTATCCTTGCCCTGTGACGAGGCCATTGAGTTGGTTTGCGAGGAGTGGATCTGCCTATATGACGCAGGCAGTGGCAGGCTAAGTAGCCGTTTTCGATTTCTGTTCAGACCACCAATTGAGCTCGGCAGATGCTGAGGCAGACTAAGAAGCTTCTTCCGGTTTCTGTTCAGACCCCTGTGGTACGGACTGGATGAAACGGAAGGAGCCGTATAAGGACGATTTGATGAAGACGAGTCCGCAGAAACAAAAAGCGTAGGGCTGCTGTCTGGTCGACTCTGTGCTTGACGAACCAGACTAGGAAGCGTCCCTCGGCTTTCTGCGCCAGAGGTCCTGCTGGACAAATGTGAAGTTCCGCTAACAGGTGGAATCGTCGAGGATGCCAGCAATGGAGATCCAAAGATAACTCGCCCTGGCGCCAGCGCTGGTGCTATGGGATATCTATTAGAGACACGAGCTGGCGTTTCAAAGACCTCTGTTGCTGCATGGTCATCGACCTCTTTAGAGATTTTTGCCTTTTTAGGTTTCTTGGCTGAACTGGGTTCGTTTTTCTCGATGTAGTCGTCGTCGAGAGAGTCATCTATCTGGTCGGACTCAGAGACTGACGCGTCGTCTATTGGGTCATTGCTGACGTTCGAGGATTGAGTGGGTGTTTCCTGGCTCGATCCGACATCGACTTCCTCACCTAGTAGAATCACATCGGAGTCAGAATCCTCCTTGGTGGTCCACTTCCCGGACGAGTCTCGGCGAAGTTGGCGGGTTTTCCGAAGTTTCCTGAGTCTCTGGTTCAAAAGGGTCTTCTTCACCACTGGCGATTCCTTGGAATTGGCCTTGCTAGCATCGGAGCTCCCGAACTTTGCATTTTTGCTGTTTTCAAGGCGCTCCTTGAGTAGCTCCCTGTTGACCTTGGGCAGTTTAGTAGACTTCTGAGCCTGATCGGGGCTTCCAAAGGTTCCGTTCTTTTCTTTGCTGGACTCTTGTTGAAGCCTCTCCTTGAGAAGCGCCTTATTCACCTTGGGCAGTTTGCCAGATGGAGCCTTTTGGGCCACGGGACTGCCAAAACCTTTGGAGCTCTTCTCAAGACGCTCCTTGAGGAGTTGTTTGTTCACCTTCGGCAGCTCAGCAGCAGTCTGCTTTTGAGGGCTGCTGGAGGGACCGTTTTTGGGCGCTTTTGCAGCCGCTTTGAGACGCTCTTCTAGTAGAGATCTGTTGACCTTGGGCAGTTCATTGGCTTGTTGGGGATCTTGTGTCTCAGGTTTGTCGACAGCCGTATCCTTGGCGGCTCTAGCCTTCTCAGGTTGCTTTGTCTGAGGACTAGAGGTCGTCTCAGGCTTCTTAGTGGGTTCTGGAGCCTTCTCCTTCTCCTTCTCCTTCTCCTTCTCCTTCTCCTTCTCCTTCTTCTCCTCAACAGCCACAACCTCCTCAACGCTGCCGGGCTTCTCAAACGAAGAGTTCTTGCTGGACTCTACCTCCTCAACCTCCAGGTCCATGCTCCAGGATGCAACCTCAGTGACATCCATGATCTCCATCTTCGACACCTCAACTTCCTGGACCTCTCCTTCTTTGGCAGTCTCCTTGACATCCCCTGTCTCCTTGACATCCTCAACCTCCTTCCTAAACTGACTCTCAGCCTCCACAAACTCATCCTCGCTGTCTCCACTCTCCTTCAACTGCTTCTCCAAATCGCCAATGATCTGAGCATCCAATTCCCTCAAAGATTCGCTTCCCTCCTCCAATTCCACAACCTGCAGAGGAAGCTCTATGGGAGTCTCGTCCTCCAGCTCCAGCAGGGGATTGATGACTCTTCTTTTGGCACTCACATCGTAGCGCTTGTATCTTCTTCTGGACCTCCTTCTTTCCGGCGTGACAGCACTTTCAGCCTTTTTGGGCGTTTCAGGCGTGATGAGGTTCTCAATCGCCATAACACGCTTGCCGGCTTTGTGTACATCTGAAAGCTGAGCTGATGGTTTGACCTTGTGTTGTTTTAAAAGCGCCCTGGCCAATTCGGATGCTGTAATCTTTTCAGCTTTATCATCAGATTTGGCTTTTTCCTCTGGCTGGGCCAGCTGGGAACGTGTTCTTCTGTTTGTCGTTATCGGTTCATTGTGGGGCTGTTTCTCTGTTAGCACAGAATCGTCATTGTCTCCGAAAAAAAGGTGTTTTACCCGTCGGAGCATTTCAGGTGTTACAAACTAGGTGAGTAAAGGTTGTTTTCTGCAGGGCCAGGCTGTTTTCCATGCCTTTGTGTGGGCAAAAGGTGGAGTTTTGATGTTGATTTTTCTGCATCCTTCGCGACTGATAGAGGTTGAGCAGAGTAGGTGATACTTCCATAAACATGATTTTTGCTGGCAGCGCCAGATATATAGTACAGAGGAAGCCACGGGGGCATCGATACAGACGGGCATTTCTGCCATTGAGACGCGTAGGTCTTTGGTTCAGCGACACGGCCACATCACCAGCACGAGGGTTTGAGAGGTACCCATCGCTGACGATTGGGGAAGATTCGTTGGCTCAACGAGGTCTAGAGAGGACCACCGTGGGCAAGCAAACTCAGTGACTTGAGCCACATTCCAGGCTTGAGGGCAGCAGCTCCTCAAAGCTATTAAACAGAGCAAAAGCAGCACACTTTCCTGCGAGCGCTTCATTTTCTTCACATTATCCCGACAAAATGACAATCTTGCACTTGTCGTAGAGCACCTCGTGGAACTTGGCGTCCTCGCTGATCTCCTTATGGAAAAGCAACGCCCGCTGCTCTTCGCTCAACACCTCCGACGCAATCTGGTTTGTATCCATAAAGTCGTCGTACTCGTTCTTCAAGAAGAGGAACACAAGGCCCGAGGGATCGGCCTCGCCAGAATCAAGCCCAAGTCTCTTGGCAAGCTTGGACTTCAAATCCTGGAGCCTGAGGTTTGCGGGCAAGAGAAGCACGAAAATGTCGTCCTCATAGTAAAACTTCACCTTCACCTTGGGCTGTTTTTCCGTTTCAAGCACACGCGGGTCCAGTGTGCGGTTTTCAGCTCGGTTCAGCTCCAGCGAAGGCGTATTGGAGCTTCTGCTCCTCAGGTGGGGCTGCACATTCAGGTACTGGGAGAGTCTGTCCTGCTGGTAGCCCAGCTGCTGATTTATAGGCTTCAGGGAGCGGTCACGGTCGACGAACTCACGGTCAAAGCCGTTATTCTGCACTTCGAAAAGCGCCAATACTTCATCGCAACGAGAGACATTGGCCGGCATGGCAATCAAGTTCCGGAGATAGTAGTCAAAACGCTCCCGGCGCAACGAGGAGATGTTGTCGGAAACGTGGATAACAGGGCCAGGGAAGCCCGGGATCGTTCTTCTGTGGCCCTCCACCTTGCCTGCTTCGTGGGGGAACTGCTCGAGGATCTTCACTTGCATGTTGTAGAAATCCTCGTAGAAACGGCACAACTGCCTCGTTTTGCCCGTCAGCGTGCGTGCCGTCACAACGTACTGGTACCTGCTGTTGTCTTCCAGAGTCGCCAAGTGGTACAGATCCACCGAGGCCTCGGTGATGTAGGTGGAGGCCGAGGAGGAGGAGGATCTCGAGTCCGAGAGCTGCGAGGGCGCCAGGGACGCTTTTCCCGAAGGGTGGGTGCTGGCCTGGTAGATGGCGGTCAGCTCTTTCCACTCCTCGACGGTGGGGATCTTGAAGTGAGAAATCACCGAAACCATGTCGTCGCCGGCGTCCATCTGCGCCAGCGGGTTGTACTTGTCGACGATCTTGACGTACGACGCCGGCACGAGCCCAGGCCCGCCCAAGCGGTTGATGGGTTTGGCAATGAACCACTCGTAGTCGTGATGAGCGCAAATCACCAAATGCTCGCCGGGCACAATGTCCAACTCGTCCTCACGCTCGGCACGGAAGTCGTAGAGCGTCACGGCGTACAAGGTCCGGTTTTCCCTGGGCTGGGGCCCGTTTTGCTGGAGGTTCTGGATCGTCTGCTGCTGGATGTTGTGGAGCAGCCCCTGGCCGAGCTGGTACGGCTGTTGTGGAGGCTGCACCAGCTGGGGCAAGCCCGAGGCGCCCACCAGGCCCGTCAGACCCGCCTGGCTGGCGTGGCCCGTTCGATTGAACACCTCAAAGTACAGTTTCGGCACCATGCCCCGCTGGTTGGTCATCGGATTCGTCGCCTCGTACCAGCCGTGCTGGTCAACCTCCAGCGGCGCCTCGAGAACGTGGAAGAAGTCGCCCTTTGTGAATTGGAGCTCCTTGGGACCCTGGGGTCGGTAATCGTACAAGGCCTTGATCACCTTTGTCGGAGAGGAGTTGACGAAATCGGCCGCCTCGTGGGACGCCAGCGAGACCCGCAGAATCAGGTGCTTGGGCAGCGTCGTCAGCAGCAGGTTCAGCAGCCGCTTGCTTCGGCGGAAGGATTTGATCATGGAAGACGTGGTTGTTCACAAGAGATAGATGCGAATTTCGAGAATGCGGTGAGGTGGAGGAGGTGGATGGGGGACAAAAAGGGAAGGTTTTTTTTGGATTTGGGGATTTGGTAGTTTAGGAAAAAGAAGTAGTACGTTTTTGAAAGTGAGGGTTTTTTGGGGGAGATAGGGTTTTGGTGGTTTTCCAGAAGGTGGGCTTCAGGGCTGGCGCGGTTCTGGAAACCGAAGGAGGGGTGGGGGTACTTGAAGAGGCGAAGGGTTTTTGAAGTAAGAGATTGATTTTACGTTTGCTAAGGCAGAGGTGATTTGGTTTTTTTGAAGATAAATGTAAATTTCTCCTTCCTGATGAAATTTCATCAAACTCCCAGTTTTCCATGCCGAGCTCTGCGCTAGGAAGCAGCCGCGAATTACACCTGTCCAGCCTCAGACTCGAGGCTCGGTGGCTTAACCAGGCTTCACGGTGGGAAATACGAAAGCGAGGCGATTTTCGTGATTTTCGGGTTTTCACGTCAAAAAACGAAAAAGTGTTGGAATTGGCCTTCGCTGGTTTCGGACTCCTCAACCTGCGGCTCGGTGCCTTCGCAGCCACGGCGTTATCCTGGAAAATAGGAGCAAACCGGCGAATAAGGTTCCCAAGGGGCCGTTGAAACCGGTGGAAAAGGCTGGATTTTGGTGAATTATCGAAAAAAGCGTTTATCGTCTTTTCTGGATGAATTGAACCTTTTCCGCTTTTGTGGTCTGATCTAGTCCGTATCCACAGGCCCGCTGCAAGAGAAGCTTGTCCTGTGGGTCGGCATTTGATGGGGGTTTGATGATTTTGAACATCGTGAGGATTCAAAAATTTCATCGAATTTTCGTTGCTGTGGATTCTGAAGATTCTGTGACGCAGGTGCCCCACTGTGGTTGGAATGCTAGCGATAACGCAAATTCCGACTAACCCTTAGCGAATGCACCACAATTTGCAACCACCCGAGGCGAGCCACTTAGTCGATTTTTAGTATCTTTAGGAATTTAGATTTCACCGGATACCCCCAAATCCATGCTTTTCTCCGTTAGGGCTCCTTCCCTAGTGGCTGCAAATGCACCACAGTCACCAACGTTCATGTCCCCTTTTCCAGCTAGCTACAGGTCACGGGCCAAGAAACACCTCCAACAATGGTTTCTGTGCTATCAGGATGCCCTTTTGGGAAATCCTCACCGTTCATTGTTCGCCGAATCAGGAAATCTCTCGAGAGCAGGGTTCGAGAGGTTTGACGAGAAAAGTGTCTTAACTGGGCCCTCTTGACCGCCCTGGGTTTCGTGTTTCGCTTTTTATGTACATACGGCGTTTGCGCCGGTGGATTAGTGGGCACTCGGAAGATTGGTCTTGAATTCCGATAGAACGCAAACGGCATGCCAGCGCAAATCCAGGAATGCCAGGAATGCTGTGTCATCAGGGCAGATCCAAACGCCGATTGCTTGAGAGGTTTGGGAATTGGCAAAAGACCGGAGTTAGCGTCCCCCACGGGTCTATCAACGAAAAGATGGATAGGTGGTTGAGGTTTTCAGCCAGGTGAGGGAATGTGGTTATGGAATGTCACACAGATATGGACCAGATTGCGGTAAAATGCATGGAAAGGCCAAATTTACCGCTGGTTCTGAAGAAGACCCAACAGCTATTCCAAATTCCAGGGGGTGTTCTGTGGATGAGGCACACAAAGCTGAAGAGTCGTCCAAAGTAGTAGCCACATCTGAGGAAGAGGACTCATCTAAAGTTGAGGATTCACCAGAAATGGATGATTTCTGGACGCTGTTGGACCAAAATTCAGCTCCTCTAGCAAAATTTTGGTTGTGTTGTTCACAGGCTAACGCTCCAAGTGCTCTTCACGACCAATTGGCAAATTCACCAAGAAACCTTGATAACGAGGGCTTTTGAATCTTAATGAGCCAATTGAGTGACCTGGAAAGCCGATTTCGGTGGCTTTTGGTGAACTTCTGTGACAGTTGGTGGAAATCTGTTATCTTTGGTGGAACTCTGTGACTTTGGTGACACATAGGAACCAAAACTCAGAGTAACCGCCTTTGACCACCCGGCCAAAACCCCAGAGCCCCATTACAAAAACAGCTTTGAGCCGCTTTCTGCTCATAAACTTCCCCTTCAGGATAACACCTCCCCACGGCTAAATGGCATACTCGAACTCAGCACCAAAGTCCACATAGTCCTCGGGCGTCATGTCGTACGCCATCTCTTGCATATCGTCACTGTCACTGTCCCGAGCCTTTCTCCTTCTCCCCGACAGCCTCCGTTCCGCCTCAATCTGCTCAAACTGGCGGTACTTCGCTAGGTATATCTTCAAGGTCTCAGCGTAATGCTCAAAGCCTAGGGTAAACATCGCCCAGAGCATATCCTCGCCATTAAGCGTTTTCCTCTTTTCCAACTTGCTCTTGTCCGCCGCCTGCGACGTGATAAAGCTGATGAACTCGGAAACACACTCTTGAACGCATTCCTTGGACTCTTTGGAGAGTTTGGCATGCGGCGGAAGCGCCAGTTTCATCACCCTGGCCACGTTGGCGATCGGGAGAAACCGGTCCTGCTCCTTGATCTCGTAGTCACAATTGCGTAAATCGTCGTACTCTTCTTCCTTGATTTTCTTCTTCATGCTGGGGTTCTTTTGGGTGCGAAAACACGGCTATATATGCTCGGGAAGTGCGATCTCGGACTCGGGCTGGGGTTGCTGAAAAGCGGCTTTTTTTGGGGAATACCAGTAGCGGGTCGGCCAAAAATCACCCAATTTATTTAATTTTAAAAAGCCGTCCGTTTACGAGAAGAATTTTTCTGTTTTCGGCTGGATTCACAAATGTGCCCCTCGTTATCTATTCCATCAGTGTGGCACCTCGCCTAATTGAGAAAACGGTGCAGTTGCGCCGGTCAACGGTGCTCCATTCATGTAGGAACCAGGCCCGAGGAAGCGGCTGAATTTCTGAAGAAAAGTTTCGAAAATATGGGAAAAGTGAATTTTGCTTGCTTTTGATTTGCTGGATTTCCAGCCTTTGCCTATTTTGTATGTACATTTTGGGACCTTGAACCGTTTTCAAGGAACCGTAGATTAACTTTTTAGCGGTGCAGCCACCTCAAACCTTGCCTGAGCGCAAATTTACACCGAAGCCCTTCATTATCTGTTTTTGAAACTCACCCTTTTACCGTTTTGACCTTGGCTGCAAATACCATACTGTCAATCGAAAAATTTCAATATCCTTTATCTCTAGACCTCCTAGAGCACATCGAGACAGAGCTGGACTTGCTCAATGTAGATCTCACAGTCCGGACTCTCCTCCTTCCAGTAGTGGAGCATAAGCAAGGTGTACTCAAGAGACCCCTTGATCAGGTCCCGGCTGAAGATCAAGTTGAGCGCCTCCATGACCTCCTCTCCACCAGAAAAAGCGTTATTCTGCACCAACATCTTGATGGCCTGCTGCACCTTCTTGTAGAGCATGAAAAGCGAGATGTTTCCCACAATGAGCTGCCTGACGTAGTACCACAGGCCTGAATGGCGATGCAGCCCGATTTTGGGAATATTTCCCTTGGGTACGGTAATAAGATTTTTCACAAATGCCTGAAGTACCCTTTTCCGGGCTGCAGGGTAGTCCTTGATGTTGATGAACTCAGGACTGGTGTCGTCCTTCAGATTGTCGTACTCCACGATATCATTAAAGTTGTCCTCGCTGATATCGCTTCTTTCCTTGGGAGGCGCCTTTATGGCTTCAATATAGGCGACCTCGCCGTCCATGAAGTTGTTGGCAAACTGAGAGGACGAACTGGAGGTGTCAAGCTGCAAAGTGTCGTTGTTCAAGGAAACCGTCGAGTTCAGCTGAGAAGGCAGATGGCTGTGGTTCATGACCATTTCTTCTCTTTTTTCTGCCTTAACCTGGGCTAGCACCGCTGCAGCAGCTTCAAAGATCTCAGAAAACGGAATTCGATCCTCAAGTATAAGGTACATGATGGGCCGGAAAAGGGCTATCTTGGACGCCAAAAAACGGGTCTTGATGAACATAATCAGCTCCAGCTGCGCCTTGAGAAGAAGATCCTCGTCAATGAAAAACTCGTCGAGGTTGTCGAGAATGTCTGTTTCGAAGGCCTCCAGGGCGCCTCTTTTTCGACATGCTCTTCTTTTCATGCTGGCGTGGATTTCGTCCACATCGGCCTCCAGCAAGACGAAGCTCCGGATTCTAGGCGAAAGCGACGCAATAATGGCATCGTACTGCTTGAAGTACTTGATCAGAAGCTTCCAGATGTTCTTGTCCACAAACTCGTCCAGGTCCCAAAGCGCCTCTCTGACGGCATCAAGAGAATAAATTTCGTCATAAAGCTTATTGTCCACTTTCCTGACGGCCACTTCTGTAAGGAAAAAATACCACAGGTTCTTGTCGTCGTACTTGTTCGTCAAAGCCACACTATCGGCTAAATGCTCCTCTGCAGAAACGGCATCTGGAATCCTCAAAAACGGCGATGGAGGCACCATCTGTGTAATTCCCGAAAGCGGCACATGGGGACTAAGTTCTGCCCGAAGCTCACACTCGAGCTTGAGACATGTCCAGAAAAGACGGTCCACAATCAGCCTTCTTTCTGCAAACAGGTACCTGAGCTGCTCGCTGGTGGCCTCTCTGTTCATTTCTTTTTCCAAGTAGTACATCATATCGGTGCTGGCGGTGACAATGGCCTTGTGGGCGCTGAGCGGGTCCATATTGTAGAGATGGTACTGGTTGAGCATGATATGGTACTCGATGGAAACGAGGGAGTTTCGTTTGAGCGACAACGGGAACACCAGGGAAATAATCAAGGCGTAGTCGATGAGCGAGCTGCTCAATTTCTTGCGATCTTTGGGGATCAACGGGCCGGATTTGGCGAGTGTGGCAGCGGAATTCTCCATAGAGCGGCCCTCCTCAGTGGAATTATGAAACGTCTGGTGGTTATCGAGCTTCACGGGCGAGGCGATGATGCCAATGGCGCAAACGGCCAAAATTAGCGGCACCAGCTCGCAGCAGTTGATGAAAGCACGGCGTCGGACGGCGGTGTTTTCGAGGTTCAACGTCAAAAGAGCGTCCTTGAACGACCGGGGCACCGTTTCGCCCTCCTCCAACGACATGTAGTCCTCGAGCATGCTGATGAACGTCGTTTGCGGGTTGGCCTTTTGCATGAGGGTGTAGATTTCGATGCTTTCCAAGAGACTGATGATATCAAGACAAGGCACCTTGGTGTGGGCATTGAGGAAGAAGGAGTTCGTGAAGGACGAGATTTGCAGCCGGAGAAGCTCCTCCAACGCCGTGCACGTATCAAACCTCTCCTTGAACTTCCGTGGAAGCCCCCAGCTGACCTTCATGTCGTACTTTGAAACCAACCGTCTAGTCCAGTTCGCCTGGTCGTTATCCGACACCCCAAGCACCTTCTGCACGGCCCGCCAGCGGAACATGCTCATGAGCGACATGTCCCAAAGACAGTGCTGGAAATAGGCGACTTTTGTGCGTGGAAGCAGCTCCGGATCGCTCTTGACATGGCGTAGTATCACATCGAGCTTCAGAAGAATCGTGAGCGACGCTGGATCGTACAGCGAGTAGTCGGACCCCGGGAAGTCCGCCCGGTAGCGGCAATTCATGTTTCCCGAACGCACACAGGCGCCACATCGGGGCCGGACGTTGTCACATTTGGACTTTTTCTGTCTGCAAGTGTCACAGGCCGTCAGGGACCGTTTTCGAGGCAACGCTGCCGCCGCCCGGGTCACGAAATTCAGCACGTGAGGCGACGGCTGTTGTGGGTTCTGGAGATGCTGGGAATGCTGGGGCGTTTGTGTGTTTTGACTGTTTGGGTGCATGTGTTGATGCAGCAAGTTCAGCGGAGTTTGAGCCACCTGGATGCCCTGGCCCGGGAGAACCTGGCCGTGCGGCGAGACCCCGTGGACAGCGTAGCCCTGCCCGTTTCCAGGGATCCCGTGCACCAGCATGTGGTGGAGATTGGAGCCAGGGTTCTGGTTCTGACTCGGATTGGCAAGCTGGTTCTGACTCTGCTGGCTCTGGCTCGGATTGGCCGCCGCCGGGGCCTGGCTTTCGTGGGAACCCGACGAATTATCGCTCCGTGCCTCCCGAGGAACGTATCCAGGGTACAAGTCCTGAGGCAGATGGCCCACGGGTCTGTAGTAAGGTGGAGCTGGAAGCGGAGGAATCCGAGCCTGGGGATGGCTGGGTGTAGCGTCGTTGGAGTAGGCCAGGCTGTTTTCCGTGTTATCTCGCAGCGGGGCTCGAAACGGGTCCATGGGGGGATTGTTGTTTTGTGGTTCGCTCATGGAAAAGAGAGTATGGCGATGTTCAGCTTCTGTGCATAGTGCGGCGCTGGAGGGTGCCTGAGCGCAGGCGTGAGGGTGCATTGAGAGACTTGAGAGAGGCCTCTAAGTTTTATGGAGAAGGTGATGGGGATGGAGCAGGGACGTTACGGTTTTTTTTTTTTTTTTTAATTCCTGGCGTTTCAGATGGCGTTTCAACGGGCTATATGGAGCCGTCGGGCTAGGCCCTGGCAGGGTCTGCGGAATCTGCGTTGTGATCTCAAACGGTCGTTCAGCGGCAAAAGCAGACAAGGTTTGGACTTACGCTGGTTTCAGAACAGGCGCCGGGCAGGGCCGCAAACCAGGCCGGAAGCGGGCAACGGTGGGCAAATTACGATGGTTTTTTAATGTGTGGAGGTAGTAGTTTGGGGTCTATTGTAGGAGGTGGTGGATGGTGACTTGTTTGGTGGGCAAACCTGGTAATAATTAAGCGATGAGAGAGTGGCCAGACTGAGGATTCTAGGTAGGATAGCACCGCTACTTCTGCTTTGTACTACCATTTTTGTGGCACTATGTGTATTTTTGGGACCTGACTAATTCTCATCAGGGGCGTTTTCGCCTCTTCCTTCATTTCTTAGCCGCTTCGCCAGGCTATGATCAACGCCGTGCAACTAGTGCTGCCGCTTGAAAACGAGATTTACCGTCGATTGTGCCACACAAACAATGGCCGCTTGACGTGCACAAAAGTCTAGGCGCCGGCGAAATTCACAATGGGCACGGCGGTGAAGAAATTTTTGTTTTTGGCTGGTTTTTGATTTTCGTTGATTTTTTATTTTGGTGTTTTTCGCCTGCTTCCATCACTGCCCTTGTCACCCTTGGCGCATTGCTTAAGCGGCGCGCCAGTGACGCAGGGCTTAATAATATTTGCACCCATTTCAGGACCCTTTTGGAGAGGTGGCGAGGGTACACTTTTGCAAATCTCTTTGTAGTGGATCGCCGCTTCAGTATAGGGAAGGCGACTCCGAGGAGGACTAATTTTTGGGGTTTTGAGAGACCTGGCGATGATTCAAGGGCACCCTGCGTCAACGACGCTTAAGCCACCGGTATGTTCTGTGCTTTGACGGAATTTGTTACGAGATTGGGTGAAGTGAGGGAGAGGGAGAGGTAGTGGGGTGAATAGTGAGGTGAAGGGTTGGGGTTTGGCTTTTTTATCTTGTAATAGGAGGTTGGGTGGAAGAGGTGGCAAGGAATGGGCTGGTTGGATTGACTAGGGTGGATATCTGTAGGGTTAGAGGAGTCCTTGAAAGTTTGGATATGGTGACTTTATGGGTTTAAGATTGTGATTTGTCTGAAACTAAGGTTGGAAACTGGCTCAAAATGTATCAAAGAGTGCACTGATAGAGAAGGGACTGTAGAACAAGTGCATACATGGTAGTAGAGCTGGTGTAGCCAGTTATCGTCTTGAACTAAGGAACAAATGATACGGTGAAGCCGATGAAAGAGAGTCCTTCATGAAGACAAAAGTCCATACCGTGGTTAGCTTACTTGAGAAATGAAACTTTTCAACCTCTGGAGTTTGAGAAGCCCACATCCTCGATGACTCAATTGTGCCCCAGTCAAATATGAAAGTCTTCATTCATATAGTCACCAACAACTCAGTCAACACAGCTCTACCGGCCTTCAATGGTCGTCCTTCAATAATCCTCTCACCTACAAACCTATGTTTGGGTTCCTACACCGGCTCTCCCTTTTTACAAGATTCAATACATACAAAGTCCAGCTAACCGGGAGGCAACTGCGAGGCGTCCACAATGTCATTGGCGTCCATGGCCTCGTCCTCCAACTGCGTGTGGTCCAATGGGGTTCTGGGCAACGCCATCATACCAGACCTGGCGATCTCCAAGATACCGAAGGGCTGCAACAACTGGATGAAGGAGCTGATTCTCGAGGGCTTCGCACTCAACTCGACAATACAGTTTCTGTCGGAAATGTCCACAATGCGGCCGCCGAACTTGTCGGTGATCACAGAGATGTTCTGCAAATGAGTGTGTTTCTGTCTCAAGGCCTCGGACGCAGGCAAGTTGCTGGGGTGGAACTCGCTCTCGGTGGCGCTCAAGTCGGGCACCGCCGAGCCGTCGGACGTGTGGGAGTTGTGGGCAGCGATCAACTCCTGGAAGTACTCGGGGCCCAAAAGCGAGATTCTGGCCAAAAGCAACTCTCTCTTGACAATCTCGGCGTTGGTGTAGTCCAAAACAGCGTACACAGGCACCAAGTCCTCGATCTGACGACGGGCCTGCTCGACAACGGCATCCTGGCCGCCCAACACAATGGTCATACGCGAAAGGTCCTTGACCTCGGTGTTGCAAACCACCAAAGAGTCAATGTTGAAGCCTCTGGCAGCCAAATGGCCCGAAACGGACGACAACACACCGGGCTCGTTCTGAACCAAGCAGTTGAGCACGTGCTGCTTTCTTGGAGCCTTGCTGGGGAAAGGAGTCTCGTACAAAATGGACGAAACGGCAGCATCAGCCAGCCAATTGGGGGTGTCGAAAGTAGGCAAAGGAGGTCTCTTCAGATTTCTGTGCAAGGTCTTGTAGGCCAAGGCCGACGTGGAAGACGACAGAACCTTTGTTCTAGCCTGGAAAAGACGGCCAGGGAGGCCAGGACGAAGAGCTCTCATTGTAGTTTTAGAATGAATCATAATTTTTTGATGTGGCCGGTAAAGGGGTGTACGGGTGTGGGTGTCCCGGGGTCCGTACCAGCAGGGGAGATTCTTTTTTATTTTGAGATATTTGGGTGAATAAGAGAGGGGAGGTGAATTAAGGAAGAAAGTATATGTGATTTTGGAAAGGCAGTGTTGTGGAGGTTTTGGGGTGACAGTTCATGAGATGCTATCGCAGTCAATGGGTGAGCGGAGGTTCCAACAGTTTTGGGGTATTTAGGTCAAAGTGAATTTGGCTTATGGTTGGTGGATTTTGTTGCTTTAGAGTTTCTTTAAGAGTCGAGCTTGTTGGTTTTTTGGTCTTTGGAGGTCGACTTTTCATGAGGTTGTGTGCTAAAAGAATGGGTGCAAAATGCTTCCCCACCTTTGAGATGAGTGCAATGGAGGGCCTAAAAGGAAGGTTTGTATATTCGATTGGCGACTTGAATTCACGGAGCCGAATTCGAATGAACATTTCGTATTTTCTTGAAATCTCTCATCGATTTTTCACATTTCTCTTCAAGGCGAGGTTCCGTTCGTCCTAGGCGAGAATCCGCTTATGTGACGTGAGTCACTGAGCAAATGACTCAGCCAGAAACTTTTTAAACGTTCAATGAAAACTTTGCTTATGAAGGTTTTCATGATTAATATTGCGAGGATTCAGTTGCCATGAACAACTAAAATAATTGTGAGTGGGTAAGTAAGACTAGCAAATATCAGACTACTGCTTCTTCATTTAGATGTACAGATGCAATTGACGAGCCGAAATCAATAGATGCCACTTAGCTATTAAAGTTCTCTTTGATATGTTCTTTCTTTACAAAGATGGCCATTGGCCCTCCGTCTTCTTGCCTTGGTGATGCTCAAGTGAAGCCGACCAGCATTATCAGCAATTTTTCTTGAATATGCTGATTCTTGAATATGGCGAGGTAAAAGATCTCTTGAAAGTAGCTTGCCCTAATCTCCATCCAGAGTTGATGCAAGTTATTTCCATTTGCAGCCATCGTCATGTCACTTAACTCACAGGCTGGGCCGAGTTGAAACGAAGACCTTCAACAAATAAGAGATTTTAGAAACAATTGTCCGAAGTGAAAATTCAATTATACTTGAAACCTCCATATTCCTTTCTGGAAACTCACATTTTCATATGCCTGCTTATCGGTTCCGCTACTAAAGAGGACCCCACATAGACGCGATATTTAAGCGAATCGCACGCGTATCTAACCAACAAAAAGAACCTCTGAGGATCTGGATATCGTCTACCTGGTTTTTCCTTACCTATACTTGAGGATTCAGTGCATTCTTAAATCACATTTGACCCATTGGACAATTACCTGCAATCGCTTATTAGCATCACTCCATCAACATGTCAAGTTCAGAGGCCACTCCAGAAGTTGAAGTTGCAGCTTGGAAACCACTTTTCGATTTGGATACTCCAGCAGGACGCGTCTGTATGTTGTCTGAAAAGGAGATTGACCGTGAATTCAATAAGCGTTACAACATTTACAAGGAAAACTTGGGATCGTACAGCAGAACCCTTGAGCGGTACTATGGGCTCAAGACACACGAAAAGTATGGCACACTTCCATTTGAAGTTATTCAGGAAACCAGTCGAGTGTCCAACTATCGTGTCACCAACAAAGAATTTATCGCTATGGGTATGGAGATCATAGCCAGCAAAATTGTACCTCTTACAGAGGAACTCCAGCATCTCGAGGAACAATGCTTCAATCCACCCAAGAATAAACAAGAAGATGCTCTCCGTTGGATTTATGAGTACATCTACCAGCGGGAACCTCCTGCTAGTACAGTCGAGATAATTGCACGTACATTGCAGAGCAATGATTATCAACTTTCAAAGTTATGCCCCCATTTGTGTGATATGGGAAAAAGTGACCTCATTGCATACTTCGTAAGCAAATCAGTGCAGCATGATAAGGATTTAAACGAAAAGCGGGACGAAATTATAAGGCAGGCTGCCCACAGACGGTCATTGGCTCAAGAACATGCCATGAATATGGCCAAAGGCGACGGCCCGATTTACAAGGTGGATATTCCCCTCTCACATTATTTGCCCGAGTGTGATCTGAAACTAGACAGCTCAACGATACGGTTTGCAAAGCTAAAAGTGAAACCACCAACGTCAGGACCACAAGCAACTCGTGCGCCAAACACCTATACTATGGGTCAATTAAAGAGTGCTTGTGATGATTATTTCACCTCTGGAGTTAACAAAACCGGAAAGATTTGGAAGCGGTCCAAACGTGGTGGTAGATCCAAGAGATCTTGGTAGGCAACCGCAATGCTCCACTTTACCGAGCACATCGTGAAAGTCCAGCCATTTCACATTACTTCGAATAATTTTGCCCTTATCCTTATCTAAAGTTGATTCATGTTACTTCTTTCCACAGCCAACATGTCCCTTGACCTCACAGAGTTGGCAGTGTTGAAACGAGGGTCTTCAACAGAAGACATTTTTCTAAAAACAATTACCGCAGAAGAAGCGTTCAAACCTTACTTTGAGCCTACTTATCTTCTTATTCTTTTGAAAACCATAATTTTCAGGTGCCTTCCAATGCTTTAGAGGACCCCAGATAAATGCGACATCCAGGCGAATCTCACGCGTATCTCACACACCCCCTGAGGATCGGAAATTCGTGCGCCTGCTTTTTCCTTACTTGTCCCTTAAAAAGGTTCGCTCTTCAATTCACATTTGACTTTCCGATCCCAATTGCCTACAATCGCTCATCAGCTATCAATATGTCAAGCCCAGAGACCACTGCCACTCCAGAAGTCGAAGTTGCACCTTGGAAACCACAGCTTGATTTGGATTGTCCAGCAGGACGTGTCTGTCTCTTGGAGAAAGAAGACATCGACAATGAATTCCTGAACCGTCTCGACTTGTTTAAGGAAAAGATGGATCTGTACGGTGATACCCTTAAGCGGTACTACGAGCTCAAGGTCCACGAGAAGTTTGGCACAGTTCCAGCTGACATCGCGGAGGAAACCAGAGAAAACGCTGATGAAAACGTCAATGGCGAGGAACTTCTCTCTTTGGATAGAGAAAACCTCACTGGCAAACTTGCGTCACTTCCCGGGGAATTGCAAAAAATTGAGAAAGAATGCCTCCAACGCTTGGCTCCTCCAGAAGTAGAAGTCGCTCGTTGGATTTATGAATACATCTACCAGGAGAGCCCTCTGGATCGTGAACTTCTTAATGCTTCACGCTTTATCAAGGAAAAAGCTTCTGGTGCGGGTGACTTTCTGGATGCTTGCTCTCTTTTACAGGAGTACGAAAAATCCTATCTTCTTGAATACTGTTTGAGTAAGGTTGTTGAGTATCGCAAGGATCGAACCTGGTACCGGGACTGTGTTACCAGGAAAGTGAAGCGTAGACGGGTTGAAATTCAGCTGTCTCTCGAGAAAAGAGCCAGAGATGGGCCTTTTGTTCCATCATTCTCTAGCGGTGGTCACTCTTCCAGAGTTCACAAAAACACATACAAGCGATCCTATTGAACCACCACATCGTTCCACTCTAAGGAGCAAATCGTGAAAGTCCTGCCTTTCCACCATACTCAGACTCCATGAATTATGATATGAAATTTGATATGAACACATATCTATTTTAATGCTGGTGAAGACCCTGTGCGCTAAGTCGGCACAGAGATTACTGTTGAGTTGGTCATGTTGAGCTGTCCATCATTGAGGGTGGACTTCTCATGAGTATGAGTACTTCAAGAATGGCTGCAAACCCCACCTTTGAGATACGTGCGTACTGCTCCTCCTCTACGATATCTTTCAAGTTCAAAATTTAAAGTTTTCATCAAAATCACGTCCAAGACGAAAATGTTTCCATGATGCCCTTTCTTTCTGCTTTTCTTATTGCCAAACTTCCGGACCCCTTCAGGTCCCATATCTTGCAGGATTCCGCGTATTCTTGATCCACTCGCGCCTACGTACCCAACTCAGCTACAATCAACCAGTTATAAAAACCCTGACATTTCCGTATCCCAATTGCTTGACTTGAAATAAATCCACTTTCTCATTTCCGCTAGACCATCCAATTGACTGCTTCACTCGATTTCTTTCCCATATGCCAGAATCACCAAGTTGCACTCCAGAACTAGTTCCATGGAAACCAAAGTTCGATTTGGATACTCCAGAAGGCCGCGTCTGTCTCTTATCCGAAAAAGTGATCGACGCTGAATTCACCCGCCGTTTGGGCATTCGCAAGAGAAAATTGAAATCGTACGGCAAATCTCTCGGAAGGTACTATGAGCTCAAGACCCATGAGCACTTTGGTACACTTCCACGGGACATAGTGTCTGAAGTTGATAAAAGGTCCAATTCTCGGACCACCAATCAAGAATTCATAGATATGGGGATGGAAATGGTTTCTCAGGAACTTGCCTTGCTTCCCGATGAACTTCAGAAACTAGAGGAACAATGCTTTCAACCGCTCGAAGAAGCAGAGCACGATGCTCTCTCTTGGATCTACACGTACGTTTATCGTCTGGAACCTTCAGCTGATGAAATCGAGAAAGCAGCTGACAGTATCTTGTTCTACCCTCGTCACTTTAGTTCTTTTGACTTTTGCCGTCCGTTGTATGATTTGAGAAAAACTCATCTTGCTAAGTACTTCGTTCAAAAATCTAACGAGCTTCGGGATAATCTAGCAGAGGAGCGGGATAAGGTCATGAGGCTGGTTGACCAAACACGGGCGACTGCTAGGTCTTATGCGAAGCTGGCGGCCGCCGGAGGGCCCATCTACAAAGTAGACATTCCTTCCTTACAAAATCTACCGGACAGAAGCTTCCATTCCCCCCATTCACTGTCAGGCTCAACCGACACAAAGACAACTACCACAGCTCCATCTTCAGAACCACAGGGACTCGACACTCGTGCTTCAGATTATTCTATTACAGGTTTGTTCAAAAGAGTATGTGAAACGTATTGCTCTTCCAGGGTCAATAAGAACAGAGGCAATCGAAAACGGTCTAAACATGGCGGTAAATCTAATCGATCTTGGTAGGCCACCACGATGCTTGACATGGACGAGACAGAATTGGGCCTACTCAACCAGGAGCTCCTCGCATTACGCACGGAGACTAAACATTGTCTTTCACTGCTTCAGATTTCTCTATGAAGACCCTGTGCGGCCAAGTTGATGGGATCTCTGGTCATGCAGAGTCTATCACACTGGCGCCTCGCTACCGTAAATCAATGGCAGCTGCGTTCCTTTGATGCACGAAGCGCTCTATAGAGGTATTAAGCCTCTTTTGACAGAGGGGTCTCGTAATTCGAAGAGAAGACCCAATCATTCATAAGCCCTGAATCCCCACAATTGGCCCTCAACTGAACTCATACTCACATCAAGAATGTCTCAAACTTCAAACCCTGATGTGCTGACTGCTACTACGTTCCCAGGAGGCGTCTACAGTGGAAGGATAGAATGGCTTAGGTTGGAGTGCACTGAGAACGATACCACCAGGACTTGGGAACTTCCTCCGTCAGCAAGTGATTATATGTGTATCAGCGGAACTGCTTATGCTGAAGGGACAATAGTTACCGGCTCTTCGGTAAATTTTATTGAAACGGACTCCAGGTCTTCGAAAAATGAAACACCTTCAGTGAAGGTATCTGGGGTGCTCATTTTAGTGATGATTCTCATGAGCTATTTGGTGCAGTGGTGAGGTTGCCCAAGGAGTCGAGGTCCACTTGATTTGGAAGAGAACGCTGGGGGTTGGTCATGGTAGCTCAATGGGTCGATAGCTCCATTATGACAGTTGGTTGTACGGCTGCTTCTTGTCTCAATGATCAGTCGGACAGCCAATACTGGGGATCTGGATCACACTAAAAGCTTCATCATTGAAGATGGACTTTTTGAAGGCCGTTTTCTTCACGAATGTGCAAAGAGGGCCAAGCTTGAAAAACTCATCACCTGCAAGGCCATGCAAGAGCCCCATGTAGTCACCCACGTTGAGCCTACCAACACCCAATTGAAGAACCCACGAAAATCACTTTCCTCGTTTTAAACAGAAAACCAAACCTCAAGATATCTTACTAAGCCTTTTTTAAATTTTGCTCATTTTTCCATTTGTCCCCTTCACACCTTGAACTCTCATCACTACCATCTCAGGATCGGTCCATGCTGTTGCCGAGCCGAACCCCACAAAACACTATAAATACCCGCTTCTCCCACTCAAATCAACCATTCCAAACACCTTTCACCAAATCCACCCAATTCCCAAAGTTTCCACGAAATTCCACAAAATCAAACCCTCCCCCACATTTAAGCTTTACCGTCATTAGCAGTGCCTCGTTCGCACCCTTACTTAAATCACCAACTCCTTCTACTCCAGCTTCTTTCTGGTTTCCCCAACAAAACAATAAAAAAGCACCAGGATGTCGGCTGCTCTCATCAACAGATCGCTCACAAATATCCGTACAGAATTGGAGTTTCTCCATGACTCCGAGGTTATAGACGAAAAGCTCTTCAATGCTTTGCTGGAGGCTCTTCCTCAACGTTACTCCAAGGGAATGGCCCCTTGGGGAGCTGAGAAGCTTTCAGCAGAAAAGGAGGACCCTGTGGAAGAAGTCTCCCAGAGCCTCCAGAAATCCACAATCCAGGACGAAATCAAGGAACCTGCCAATCCTGCCAGAGTGCCTCCTAGAAAGCCAGCTGGCCCTATCGGCTACTGCAAGGCCTTGTACAACTACGAGGCGCAGGAGGCAGACGATTTGGCCTTGTCTAAGGACGACAAGTTGGCTGTCGTGGAGCACCTTTCTCTGGACTGGTGGAAGGGCTGCAAATTGGGCCAGGGTCCAGACCAGGCGGGTGTTTTCCCATCCAACTACGTGTCTGTGATTCTGGAGACCGAGTTCCAGCAGACCAGGGAGAAGGCGCCAATTAACGAAAAGGCCACGTTCGAAGACAGAGCCCAGTCTCCTTCGGCTCCCCCTTACGACCAGGTGGTGCCCCAGCCCACGTACCCACAGTACCCACAAAACGGCCAGAATGCCCCATACGGCCAGTACCAGAGCCCACAAAACGGTTACGGCCAGAGCCCACAGAACGGCTACGGCCAGATGCAGCCTTCTTACGGCGGATACTCCCAATATCCTCCTCCATCCGCCAACTACTACCCTCAACAGCAGCAGGTTCAGCAGATGCCCCAGGAGCAGCAGGTTGAGCAGTCTAGCGGCGAGCATGGAAAGGGTCACGAGCATGTTAAGAAGTTTGGTGGTAAATTGGGTAATGCGGCCATTTTCGGTGCTGGTGCCACTATCGGTTCGAACATCGTGAACTCGATCTTCTAGGCCTGCTTGCCTGTAGTGAATGGATAGGCCATTCTATGATAATGTGTTGTTGGTATCGGCGCCAAGCGCCTGGTTTAGGTACAATTGGATCGTTTTGAAATTCATGTAGGTATCAATTCGTTGTGTAGCTTTGGGAAGAAGTTCGGTGGTTCCAATAAGGACTTTGCCGTTAAGAGAGGTAATTGTGTTGCTAGTACCCAACACTTTGCTTCAACTCCGATACCCAAAGCCACCTACACTTCCGAGTCGTTATCAGTATCGTTTACTATGTACATCATTTGCGGGTGTCCGCCACAGTGTTCAACAACAAGGTGTCGTTGTCCAAAAGGATTCTGTTTGGCGAGTTGGCCAAGATGCGGGCAATCTCACGAGCGGTATCCAAACGCTTCAACTCGACGTAGTCCTTCGACTTCTTGATGGCATCACCAATCAACTCAGCAGACTTGGCCTCACCAGCAGCCTTCACAACCAATTGCTGCTTCTCCTGAATTGCCTTATCAACAACAAAAGCAGCTCTCTGAGCGTCTTGCTGTGCAATCTGCTTGGCCTCAACGGCGGCACTAAACTCAGGTGAGAATGTCATGAAAGTCAAGGAAACATCGTCCAACAAGATGCTGAATTTGGAGGCACGGCGCGTGAGGTTCTCCTTCACGAGTCTCGACACCTTCTCTCTCTGGGTGATCAATTGGGAAGCGTTAAACTGGGCAATGACTGACTTCAACACCTCGTTGACAATCAGCGGCAAAACCTTCTCGTCGTAGTCCTGACCCAAGGTTCGGTAAATAGATGGCAATTCCAAAACATCTGGCTTGAACAAAACACGACAGGTGATGTTGACCATTTGCAAGTCCTTGGTGCCTGTCAAAGAAGAGACGTTTCTGGGCTTGGCTCTAACATCGTAGACCACAGGTCTCTGGAACCAAGGCAAAACAAAATGCGTACCTTCTGGGTAAATTCTGGACTGGACTCCGCTCAAACGGGAGTAGACAATGGCTCTCTGACCACCGTCAACGTTGAAAAGGGAGTTTCCAGCAGCCCAGAGTCCCACAGAGGCAAGAACAAGACCTCCGACAGAAAAAAGGCCACCAGGCATTTTTGGAGGAGCACCTCCACCAGGACGTGCTTGGGCCGCACGGCGTCTCAATTCATGAGAAATTCTCTGCCAATTAGGGTCACTCATTGGTTTATGGAGGTAATTGGAGTGGTAGGTAGTTGGTGATGAAGGGGGAAAGTGAGTTGCCCTCCGCGCGCGACATGCGACATTGCGACACTGGCTGCAAACTGCCCCAAAGATAGAGTTCAGTTGCAAATTGAATGGCAATGTCAGTATTTTTTGACGGATCGTCGGATTGTCGTTGGTAGCTAGGCATTGCTAGCTTTCCTTCGAAGTGAGGCAAAAAGGCATCGATATCTGCCAGTTTCAGCGCTCAGCTCTGAATAAATAGTATAGTGAATAATGCATGGACCGCCTCTGATAGTGGCGGTTTGATGATATTTGAATATGACCGCCTAAGAAGGCACACCCTCGTAGTCGTTCTTCTTGTAATGCTGGTTGATGGTCCTCTTCCAATGGCGACGGCGATTGGTGTGAATTGGTGTCAGTAGGAAGAAACGCTCAAAGAAGATCAATATAAGTATCACCACCGCCACCACCGCAGAAGGTGCAACCAGTCGAATAAGGTTACTTGTAGTGACAGCCTTTTTGTATGGACATTCGGCGTAAGGGCCTCCATCCACGAAACAGCCCAGGATGGTGATATCGTTCATATCGATCCACACTGGATACACCACACTGGAGGAGTTTAGGAAATTCTGTAATGCAAGCTGCTCAGTACTCAGATGAGGAACGCTGAACTTGTAGTTTTTGGGACAGTCCGGCTGATCCGTGCTGAAGTACAGGGAAATGTCGTGAGAGAGTGTCCATTCGAAAGCGTTGTTCTTGTGCTTGCACGCCAAACGGTACTTGTTGTAGCAATTCTCCACAGCCCAGCCCTTTCGTTTCATCACCACACACTTCTCTGCAACTTGCGACACTGCCGTCTGTTGCCAGTCCGGGTCATCATCGTAACCCACATCGTAGTCGTCATCATCGTCGTCGTGATCGTCATCTCTTGGCCTCATTTCGGCGAAATCAAGAGAAAGCCTTGTGGTGTTGCTGAATGAGTTGTCGGGCTCAAAGGGCGCCCAGGCCCAGTATGCATAAGGAATAAAGTTATTGAGAACACGCCCGGTGTACTCGCCTGTGAGGTTTGTTCTGTTTAAAAGAGGATAAACAGATGCATTGAGAATTGGCATGTAGCCGCATTGAAGCGCCTGGTGGGCGATTTCCGGGGTGAAGCGGTTATTGTTGCTGTCTATGAGCATGCGGAACTTGGACTCCAGAACCCTGTTGTTGTAGTAGTTTGGATCATAGGGCCCAAGACGTCGATCGTGACATTCTTGAAGAACGTCTTCGCCAGTGTGGTTCAGAGTGAAGTTGTTCTGGCCGTAGAAAAAGATGGTTTTGGCGTCGGCGACCGTCACGTTGTAGCCATTGCTGGAATTACGGTACTCGTCAGTGACAGCAGTGACAAATGCACGCTTATACAAGGAGTACAAGAAGTCCTGCTGCGAGGGGTACTCGTCATCGTAGGCCACCGTCGAGTTGAGCGGACTGGTCATGTCCAATTCAGACGGCAAAAAGAGAAACGAGCTGAGCGACAGGAGCGGGTCAGACAAGGAGCTGTTTCCTAGTTCCATATACTCAGGCAGATAGACCACCATTCCTGGCGAAATGGACGTGGGAGCTGGCCCCGTGACCAACGACGAGCTGTTGGTCAGATTCAGCCGAATCACCACCGTGTCGTTAAGTATCAGCTTCAAGTTCAACACCAACTGTATCACGTTGGCCTGACTGTTGGTGTTCAGCAGCCGTAGGTAGTCTCTTAGCGTTGCATACACGTCCATATCGCCGAAGCTCGGCTGGCACTTGTAAGTGCTGCCTTTCCAGGAAACCAGGACCGTTTCAGATCGGTTATTTGTAGCTCCCTGGGGTATAGGAGCAGGACAAAGCTGCCACCTCCCCGTGTACTCATTCCAATACACATCTAGCATGACAGCGTTGATGCCAACGTTTAAAGCCGTTTTGAGTGTTCCCAAGGCGTCGGTCGAGTAGCCCTGGATATCGAATATAAGTCGATTGGCCGAAATGCCAAACGGTGTATGTTGATCGATGGGGATGTCCATGGCGATATCTCTTTCTGCACGCAAGGCCTGGTCGGCTCTGTCGGAGAGATTTGGCCAGTTAGCCTCCTGGGCTAGACTGCATGCAAAAAGGAGCCAGTAAAACCACATGGCGTGGGTTTAGGGAAGGAACGTGGAGTAGTAGGTGATGTTGATATCGCGCGATGTGCGATAAGGTTGTGAGGTGGAGGTGGGACTTGTGGGGAGGTGGAGGTGGGATTGATTAGGGGTTGGAAGTTTGGGTGGGGTTTTTGAGATTTGACGTTTGAGTGGTTTTTGGTGGTTTTTGGTGTTTTTGATAAGTGGGTATTTGGAAAATCTGGGTGCTCGTGGTGTAATATGGCTGCGAAATGCATGATAGTGCAGATGTGGTGAATTGCTTATCTTAAGGAAAAAGCAGTACTTCGGAGAGTTGATTTATTTTGAGCTTCTATGTTTTGTAGGGCTCCATCGGCTTGCTACTGTTCATAAAGGTGTGCCTCGTAGAAGTTGAAGGTGCTTTGTGGGTGTACTCAGAAGGTGCATCATGATCTCATGGAGGTGCCCCAAAAAATGAATCTCCCAGTGATTTAGAAGATTTCAGCCGCAGTAAGGAAAAGGAGGATAACGAATTCATCTGCAAAGTTTGCCATTCTTTTTCTTGACTATAGGTAATAGTGAACGCTGAGAATGTGGAGATAGGGCTCAATAGGACTAATAGAGATGTCCACTTGAAAGAGGTGAAAACACAAAATTCCATGAAAATCACCAAATCACTCATTTCAGCCTACCAATAGATAGTCAGTTTGAACTTTCCAGCATAATACCCTCAGATGTGCCTAACTTCACGTACCCTTCCTTCTCATCTGGTGCACCTCTTCACGCGATATGGCTGCGAAATTATCAACATACAACAACACCCTAATTCACCACCAACCCACCACAACGGCTGAGCCAAACTTTCAGGCCCAAATTCCACAAAACCCAAACCTCCCCGAAAACCACATACCCAGCAGATGCTGCGGATTCTCGAAAAAGTCTACAGAGGCCTCAATGAACGACAACGTCAGGCAGTTCAGGCGCCTGCCAACGGGATTCTCCAGATCGTGGCGGGCCCAGGAACCGGAAAAACAAAGGTTCTCGTGGCACGTGTCGCCTATCTCCTTCTAAGCGAGGACATCTCGCCAGAACACATCATCGTCACGACATTCACGAAGAAAGCAGCCAATGAGATGATGGACAGACTACGAGAGTTGCTCAGGGGCACGGAGATCGCCGTGGGCAAGCTTCTCATCGGAACGTTCCACAGCATATGTTACCGCATAATCCAGAAATACGGGACCAGGGTCGGCTTGGAGGGCTATAGTATAGCCGATGACCGTGATTCCAGACAGGTTTTGAATGAAGCGATTCTCGGGTTGCCGGATGAGAAGTGGGATGAGATTGACCAGATGGAGGAGATTTATACTCTTCCTTTTAAAAGCAACGATGACAAGTACAGGGGGCTTGACCCGAAGAAGCTCCAGAAAGCCATATCGTCTTTGAAAGCGAGAGGACTACTACCTGAGGATTACGCCAAGGAGGCACAGAAGAACCCTCTTTCGTTGATCGTGTACCAGGCGTACCAGGAAAGACTAGCACAGAACCGTGTTCTTGATTTTGACGATTGTCTTTTATACTGCCATAGGATTGTCTCAAGGTATCCGGTTCTCAGCTACATTGAGCATACCCTAGTGGACGAGTTTCAGGATACGAACGAAGTCCAGCTCCAGCTCATGTACCACTTTGCCAAGGGCAGCTTGAGCGATCCTGAGCTCCAGAATAACGTGACGATTGTTGGTGATCCTGATCAGAGCATCTACGCATTCAGAAACGCCCAGAGCATCAATTTCGACAAAATGAGACAGTACTACAAGAACCACAAACTCAAGGTGATTACCCTCGAGGAGAATTACCGCTCCACCCCAGGAATCCTCAGTCTATCTGAGAAACTCATGCACCAGCAGGCTGGAAGAACCATGAAGGAGCTCAGATCTCAAAGCGAATGTGCCATTGAGCCGGTTTACGGAAACTTCCATCTGGCCGAGGAGGAAGCAGCATGGGTTGCCTCGAGAATCAAGCAGATCATGACGCTTCCGTCGTTTCAGCATTCAGATTGTGCCATTCTTGTACGATCAGCCTACCAGACCAGAGCTATCGAGACGGAACTAGCAAGGAAGAAAATTCCGTATTTCATGGTCAAGGGAAGGGCCTTCTGGGAGCGCAAGGAGGTGGTGGCAATGATGGACTACTTGAGGTGTGTTGCCAACGAGAACGATAGAATTGCGTATCTACGATGTGTGAATTTCCCGAAACGAGGATTTGGGCCTAAGGCTGTGGCAGAGTTGGAAAGTCAGATTGAAAAGGGAGGTCTGGTTTTTCAAACTCTCCAGAATCTTGCAAACGGCTCGGTATCTTCGTCTTTGGGTCCAAAGCTTCGAAAATCGTTAGACGGCTTTCTTCAGCTAATTGAGAAGCACCGCCAGGCCCTTCCCGATGACGTTGAAGGCACTGACGACCTCGGCAGCCGGCTTGACAAGATGTTCACCGGCCTTTACGTCCAATCAGGTCTTCAGAGAGAGTTTGCTGAAAATGTGGACTGCGAGTTGAACATCATGGAGGTCAAAAATCAGCTTGTGGAGTACGAAATGCCCGAGGAGGATTACCTTCCTGACTATCTTGAGGAAGGCGAGGCCCCAGTTCCCACAGAAATCGAAGTCTCTGGTCAAAGCTTCCTCCAAACCTTCATAGCTTCTGTGAGATTATTCGATACTGATCCTGAACAAGGCGAGAAGGATGCAACACCAAAAGTGGCGGTATCCACGATCCACGGAGCCAAGGGTCTCGAATGGCCTGTGGTGTTTGTTCCTGGCGTTTCAGAAGGTCTTCTTCCTGCTTCTTTTGCCATGACAGACGAGGAATCCGTGAATGAAGAACGAAGGTGTTTCTACGTTGCTGTCACACGAGCCAAAGCGTTGTTGCTACTTTCATCGTATGTGGATGGACCCAGTAACGGGAGCTGGAGAGGCGTGGAAAAGGTGTCTCGGTTTTTGAAAGGCATTGTTGAAAAACGCTCAAGACAACTCAGTTTCAAGGACCTCCAGGTGCTTGAGCACTTGTATGACTTGCTTGGGAAGGAAAAAGTGGAATTGACCGACGAGTTGATCAAAAAGTTCCATGGCCAAGACGCAGAATCCAAAACTCGCTTCAACGACTACTCTGTGGAGTTTAGCAGCGCCCGAGAAGCCAAGCCAGTGAAGAGATCTCCACTTAACTTTTTGAATCAGAGGTCAGTTGGAGTGTCACAGAAATGGAACGCTCCAACACCTCAAAAAGCTGTTGGTTCAGCACCAGCTCTGTTTAAACCACCCAGGGTATCTCCTTCATTTGCTCCACAATCGGCACCTCAGGATACACCGGTTTCTCTGGGTGTCAAAAGGGCACCAACGTACATTCCATCACGGCCCAAAGGAAAGAAGCGATTAGGAACGAGGTGATAGTGGTCTCCGTGGGACACTTATAGAAAATCATAGAATACACAAGGAAGGCATCAATCTCTTCTACATTCTACAGCTGGGACGGTCCGCCCGTTTTGAGCCCATATTTCTGCTTTATACTTAGCTAAGCCAAGAACGCCCCGGAACAGTGCACCGCACCACCGTAAGCCTACTTGGTGATCTGGAACGACCACGGAAACGTCAAGTGCACGGTCTTGTCGTCGTCCACAAACTTGGTGGTCGCCAGGTAGCTGCCTCTAGCCAACATGCCGCTGGGAGCCTCCGTGGCACCCAAGGACTTCTCGTAGTATGGCTTGTCCTTGGTGTTAGGCGCATACGAGCCCAATGGCTCCTCGATCTTCTCCACACGGATACCAGCCTTCTTGACCGAGTGCAAGTACTTCAAGCCCGTGATGATCTCGTGCTGGACACGGAACTTGATGTGCAACTCGTACACGGACTTCTCCTTGACAGAGAACTTGATGTCCTTGTCGATGGTGTTTCCGCTCGCGTCCTCCAACGGAATCCGGATTGGCTCGAGCGACTTGTCCTCCGGGAACGTCAACGACATTTCCACAATAACAACTGTCCTTTTGTCGCCTGCTTTCACGGGATAAGGTTCACCTTCAGCAAGCCCTAAAGACGCCTTCCACTTGGCAAGCGACTCGTCCTCGGCGTCGAGTTTGGTGTATTCGGCAATTGTCTTTTTCTCGCCCACAGTGTAGCCCTCCACGGACTCGGGCACCAAGTCATCGTCAGCAGACATAGTAGTTGGTATGAATTGAGTAGGTGATTGAGATCAGATCAGCGTTCCTGGTGGCACATCCGTACACCATACACGGTTGGCGTTGAGCTACATGGTCGGTATTTTGGGGTTATTTTGGATTTTTAAGTTTTGGGAGATTAAAGGAGGGTAGAGGTTGGGAGATTCGGTGATGTTTTATGGTTTTTCAAGCGGCCAGGTCGGGTGGTGGTTTCAGTGTAGAATGGGTTCAAACGCACAGAGGCCGGTGTTGAACTTAAGAAACGGTGCATGGAGAAAGATCTGGAATCGGTGACGGACGCGACGGTTTTTTTTTTTTTTTTTTAACGATTATTGGATGCTGAAAATTTTGAGATTGGGTGGTGGGATTTGGGAAAAGGTGGTTGTTGAGGTAAGTGGATTGTCGATTGAGGTGACTAGATTGTCGATTTATAGGTAAGGGGAGGTTTGAGAGTTTGCGGATAGACTTTTAGGTTACTTTGGATGTGGAAGAGCAATTGAAAGCGTTTCAGGGGAAGGAGTTTTCGATATGTGGATATTTTATGTTCATGAATGTAGTGGTGATATTAAAGCTAATACAGCTATACACTGGATTGTACGGCTGAAAGCACACATCATTAGCAATAGTAGTAAGCTTTTGAAGCTGTATTCTTAAATTTTAGGATCCAGAACAGCTGGTAATAATTTCGGCTTTTGAGCTCCATTTCAATGAAATCTTGATCAGAGCCATTTGCGTATTCAAGTAATGCCACCATTTATCATGTCCAACGAACCTCCCACCGTCACCTTCATTTCCAAATCAGCAATTTCCCACCAACCGTCTCTCCAGCAACCCAATCGTATAGAGCCCCTTCAAAATGAGTTCAACCCTCTCAGCCATCAGCAGATCAAAACAGAAAAGTCTATTTCGCAGATCGCCAAATCGCCTAACTACACCTACCCACCGGAAACCGAAAAAACCACCCAGCGGGCCGACTTACCTCTGGAAACCCACTTGGGCCATTTCTCGTCCTTCCAATGCACATAATTTGCCCAATTCGGCTAACCCATATACCCACATTGGCTAATTATCTGCCTTACAAGAGCGAATTCACAGGGCAACAAAACCACAAACAGCTCCATGTGCAAGTTTCCGGGTATACCCCGGCATCGTACCTCTCCCTAAAAAAATCAACGTTGACGGTTTGTCAATTGCGGAGACACTCGATTAGGGGATTCAGCCGCATAGGTTGTATTCTCTGTTTGTTCGTTTGTTTGGTTTTCTTGTCGTGGAGTCTCGGCAGGCTAAGGCTGCAAACCCAAAGGGGCAAGAGGTTTGCAATAAACGAGATGTAGTTTTGGGGCTTAAACGCAACGGAAGGTGTATTTTCATTGGACAACTTCTGGAAGCGATGTCGTCATATTCCATTTGCCGTGGCATCGCCTCACACGCCTGATTACCATTTTCTTCATCTGTTGTAATATCCTCCTTTTGTGGTCTTCCTTTTGCAGCAAATAAGACAGGGTCTTGGCCCGGGCATTATGTATTGTCAAGTGCACTGACGAGCTCGTCAGGCACCATGGAACCGTCTTCACGAGAAGCTTTGAATTTCGGCGAAACGACAAACGATGAAACGCTAAAAAATAAAAAAAATAGATCGTGGCTTAGAAGCACCAATTCCGTCGTATCCGCCCACTTTATTGGCCTACCAGCTCGTGTCAAGCAGGTCCAAGATCGTCCATACCCCGGGTGCATGGCCGGTTCCCCGAAGAAGGAAAAAAGGGTCCCGCGGCGGCTCGAAAGTTGCCCGATCGGGCAAACTTCGCTCACTGTGTGCAGTACCAACATTGGCTGCAAATATCACCATCCACAACAACCATCGGTGTTCTGATACTGGTAGCTTGGCGCCGTGGAGCTATAAAAGAGAGGGCTGCCCACTGGGTTCTGCTGCTCCTCCCCATCCATGAAGTTCGTATTCCTCCCGCTTTTTGCGCTTTTCAGTCTTCTTTCCTTCTCGGCAGCCTTGCCTGTCGAGATGCAGAATCTTGCTCTCAAGGAAGAGTTTGTCGTCAAGAGAGAACAACAGGAGGAGGTCGCTCCTTTGCAGAAAAGAGAAAACGAGAGACTCACCCGTTTCTTCGCCTCGCTCAACAGAACCGGCGCCGGCGTGTTTTTCGTCAGAAACGCCGTCAACTCCCCCGGTATCAACAACGCCATCATGAGAAACATTGCTGATTTGTTCAGAGGCGACGGCATCGAGGCCTTTTTGCCTGCCGCCGACGAGTCCGGCATGGCCCTCGACTTGACCCTCTTGTTCTTCACCCACTGGGAGGTCTGGGACGGTCTCACCGACCTCACCCACTACTACAGAGGCACCGATCCTTCGCAGACGGGCTCTTTGCTTGTGGCGATCACGAGGTTGATTTTCCAGAACTTTTTCGGGGACTTTTTCGGCAACAGCACGTTGGGCGGATTGTTTAATATTTTCGGTGGCAGCAGAGGCGCTGGTCCAGCATCTGGAATGCGTGGGCTTTTGAGTGGACTCTCTGACATTTCTAGTTCTGCTTCTGCCGGTGTGGCTTCGTCAGCTGGTGGTTCGTCTTCGTCCGACAGCGACTTTGACGGAATCTTCGACATGTTGAGTCTGCTTGGCGGATCCTCTGATGAGTCTGACAGTTCCTCCAACAGAACCACCGCTGAGACTTCTGTTGCTGAAACTTCTGTGACTCCCGTTGCTGCCACATCCGTCACTCCAGTCGACGAGGCCACTTCTGCCGTTGAGGCTCCAGTTTCCACAGACGAAGCCGAGGAGGAGGAAGAGGAATTGGACATTGAGGACCTCGAGGACGAGGACGAGGACAGAACTCTCGCCCAGCAATTTGCCGATGTCGCCTCCGACGTGGCCTCCTTCTTCAAGCGTTCCGACGACGAGGACCGCAAAATCATGAAGCGTGACTCCGACATCTTGGCCCTCAGAGTGACCAGACTCCTCAAGCGTTTGGAGGACTCTGAAGAGAACGCCGACGAGGACATCGCCGTGGCCACCATGGACGACTACAACTCCGCCTGGGACCAGACCACCTCGATCATGGCCGAGGAGGACCTGGACTCGCTTGGAATGTTGATTTCCTTGCAGAAGTCTGGACTCGGTATCAGTGTGATCCACGACGCCTTGACCCACCACAGATGGCACAGATTCCTCAAGAACACCATCGAGCACCTTCTCGAGGAGGACCTTCTTGACTTGGAGCACTTGGTGCGTTCTCTCTTCACCACGGGTGTGATCTGGAGCGTCATTGGCGACATTCTCCAGTCCCACGTCAGAACCGTTCTTGACTTTGCCAGAGGCGTTTTGAGAAACGATGTCAACGTGCTTGGTTTCCTTAGAGCCCTTCTTACCTAAGCCTTCTTACTTTAGTGCCCGTCTTGGGACTGTACTATACCTTTTATGACCCTACTACCTAGGCCCGTTCGATTTCAATACAGGTAACGATTAGTGGAGTGTAGACCGATTTTGGCAGTTTTCGAAAATTTTTGTCAGTATTTGTAAATTTAGGCATATGTAAGGACCGTTGGATCGCCCGTGGACGTCAGGGCCACCGTTTGGCAGCTTCGGTGCATATGTCACTTTGGGATTCATGGAAAACGAGTATTCAACCACCGAAGCCGCCTTTTCGGCCCCATTTTATCAAATCCACAAACAAAGGACCGCCAAGGTGAGTGACCACCGAAAACAAGCCCAATCACCGGAAGTTACACAAAAGCCCGGTTCGTAAATGGCGATTTGGGCGCTTATTGTGCCACCTTTCGAGGCCGCCGCTGGGGGGTATTAAGCCGCTTTTTTGGTCACTTTCGCCAACAATGCTGAGGTTGGCGTGGCCCGAAAACGGGCTTTCGTCGGGGAGCCTTGATATCATCGATTTCATCAAAAATGGTCCACATCGATCTCGCAAGGCGCTAGCGAGTAGCACAAAAAAGAGAACAAAGAAAGGCACATGAAGCCCGGGTCTTCTACAATAGGAGAAGGCCAAAAAACCAACATTTACGGCGAATTCTTGGAACCCATCCCCTTTTCATTGTCCGAAAACGACACCCATTTAATCTTCTGTACATATCGTCGAGCAAGGTTTCCCAATGCGTCACGGTAAGATACACTTTTTCAGTTACACAAAACCGGAGCGACGATCACCACGAAACATGGCCGTTTCCCACAATTGCATAATTTCCAAGTGCAGAAGTCGCCTAGAAGTTCCCGCCGATCGTCGCCTTGTCAAAGTGTAATTTGTGATTTACGCAGCCGTGTCCAGATCTCTCCTTGTGCCGAATCACTCTTTCCTTGTTTGGACGCACATTACCCCAAGCGTGCAAGGCGTTGCCGAGATACAGCACAAGACGGCCTTTGTCTTGACAACCACGCTATCAGCTGCCTGCGGGGTCTTTGGCGGAGGTTTACGAGTCTTTGTTTGGTGGAAGTGATGAATTGAATCCTCAGGTATTGGAGTTGTTTTTTCGTGTTGTTTTTGCTCTGTCGGCTTCGCCCCAATTGCACTTCTCCCTGTTAGGCAATGGAGACCGGGCTTTGGCCCAAGGCTTGGGTTAAGCCTTGAGTAGCAAAAACACTGAGGAACTCTTCGAGGTAGAAGGGCTGCGTGGGGTGCAGCAGACCAGTGGGTTCTTTACCGCATTAGGCAAAAGTGACTCGCCGGCGCTCTTTGTTTGCCCGAACAGGAAGTGTGTCAGATGGACTATGTGCAGGCCGTGCAGAATGGCTGCAAATTACCCATTCCCTGGCGACACCACCACTTATAAATCGCTGGTTCCCAGCTCCCTGGAACCGCTGCAACCACACAAATATGAAGTTTGTCTTCTTCCCCCTCGTGGCGCTTTTCACGCTCTTGTCGTTTTCGGCGGCTTTGCCCATCGAGTTGCAGGGCCTCAGAGCCAGAGCAGACTTTGATATCAGACTGGAGGAGGAAACCACTCCAGCGCTTCTCTCTCCCTTGGAGAAGAGAGAGAACACCTTGCTCACCAGCTTCTTCACGTCCTTGAACAAAACCGGCACCGGCGTCACCCTCGCCAAGGCTGCCGTCAGAACTCCTCTTATCGATGACCAGATCGTCAAGTTCATTGCCAACTTGATCGAGACCAAGAACTTGACCAACTTGTTGGAGATGGCCGACAACTCCGGCTTGGCCTTGGACTTGGTCTTGTTGATCTTGACCCACTACGAGACCATCGACGGTCTTACGGATTTCGTCAAGTACTACAAGGGCAACAGCAACCTGACTTCTGGTGGATCTGGCGGTCTTTTGGGTGGACTTTTGGGCGGTTTGGGCGGTCTCCTTGGCGGCGGCTCTTCTAGCTCCTCCTCCGGTTCCGGCGGCGGTTTGGTCAGCAACCTTTTGGGTGGTCTTCTTGGTGGAGGCTCCAGCGGCAGTTCTGGATCCAACTCCACATCTTCTGGATCTTCTGGTGGTGGCTTGATCAGTGGACTTTTGGGCGGTCTCTTGGGAGGCGGTTCGTCTACTTCTTCTTCCAGCCCATCTACTACATCTTCTGGTTCCAGCTCCACCACTTCTGCTTCCTCCGGTTCCGGCGGTGGCTTGCTTGGCGGTCTTTTGGGCGGTCTTTTGGGTGGATCCTCTGGTTCCGGTTCTTCCAGATCAGCCACCACTTCTGCCTCTGCTGCTGCTGCTTCTGCCACTTCTGCTGTTTCTCAGGCCGCTTCTTCATCCAAGTCTGGCGGTCTTCTTGGTGGTCTTCTTGGTGGTCTTGGAGGATCCAGATCCACCGGAGCTGCTACTACTTCTGCCGCTGCTGCTACTTCTGCTGCTCCACTCGCCGGTTCCGCTGCTCCAGCCGCCGGTTCCGCTGCCGCCGAGTCCGTTCCAGCGGTTTCGGACCTCCTTGGCTCCAACGCTGCTGCTGCTACTAACACTGCTGCCGCCGGTTCCGCAGCCAACGCCGCTACCGGCGCCGCTGGCACTGCTGCTACCGCCGCTACCGGAGCGGTTTCGGAGGCTGCCACCGCCGCTACCGGCGCTGCTTCCACCTCCACCGCTTCCGGCCTTGCTGGTGCTCTTGAAAACCTCCTCAAGCGTGCTGACGACGAGGACGTTGCTAACGACGCTGAGCTCCTCAGACGCCACACCGAGGCTGTTGCGGAAGAATTGCAAGTTCTTGTCAAGCGCTCCGAAGAAGCCTCCTACTTGGAAAAGCGTGATATCTGGGACTCGGTGTACACGCAGATGATCAACCTCATTGGCTCTGACGCCAACGTCGAGGAGGTGATGGTCTCCTTGAAGAAGTCCGGCTTGGCCATCAACGTCATCTACAACGCCTTGACCGACTCCGACTGGTACGGTTTCGACAAGAAGTTGGTCAAGTACCTTGTGGACAACAACATTGTCACTTTCCCTATTTTGCTCAACGCTCTTTTGAAGTCCGGCGTGATCTGGCACGTTGCCGCCGACATTATCGGCAACTCCGAATACGTCAAGCTTGTCATTGACTTTGTGCTTGCCATCTTCACCGGCAAGGTCAATGTCATTGGCTTGATCATGGCCCTTTTCTTTTAGTTCTTTCGCTACTTAGTTCTTTCGCTGGTTTGTACTATACCATTAAAAGTTATGATGATGCAAGTGTAGATGATTTTACGGAATCTTGTTTTATTTTGTGTTTTTGGGTTTTAGTGGTGTGGGATGCTGGGGAGGATTGTGGATATCATGCGATTTTGCAACCATTCGCATAGTATGGAAATACACCTAGACTATAGAAAAGCAGCACAGTGCTCCAATGGCTTTGGTTCTCTTGATTAAATTCGTCTACAAGGAATCGAGATACTCAATAAAAGAATCAAAAAAAGAAATCTTCCAAAAATAGAAGGATATTGGAGTAGACTCTGACCTCGTTGGTTAGTTCCCAGAAAGCTCCCTAGTCCAAAACCCATCCCATTGTTCTAGACTCAAACCTGACTCCTACAAAAAATCGACACAAAATCAATTTAATCACGCCAGATGACTGACACTACTGAAATCCAACTTCCCATAAATGGACCCCTGACACTCCAGCACAATGATTCATGGTGCGTGAACCTGCCTTGTTAGGTTGCATTGTACACATTTGTCGATTATCCCCACATCGTCAACACTCTCGACATAGGGCCTGGCCCCTGCGTCCAGATATAGAAAGTCGGTTACTATAAGCAGTATATGCTTTTTTCTTCAGCCTACTTCTCGTCGTAGGTCTCTAAACTGGCTTAGATCTGGGGCGTAGCAGCACCGTCGGCTCTAGGGTCAGAACCTCCAGACCAGACCACTCTACCATCTCTAGAAATGTTCTTGATGCACTGGGAACGGCCAAACACAAACCTGTCCCACCCGGTGACATGCTCCACACAATGTCCCATTTGACGCAACTCCTCCACCACTTCCTTGTCGATGCCTTCCTCGAGCTTCACGAGAGTATGTGGCGTGGAAACGGGTCCCCACGAGCCTTTACCAACGTCCAAGTGCCTGTGCTCCTCGTTGGGCTCAAGACAGAACCGTGGGGCGTCCATTGCCTCCTGGGCATCATGGCCGAAAAGAATCATGTTCAACATGATCTGAACGTGAGCCTGTGGTTGAGCCCATCCTCCCATGCAAGCGACTGAAGCGTAGAGCTCATGCTGAGAGTTGGTGAGTTCTGTAATGAGCGAGGGAATGATCGTGTGGTATGGTCTCTTTCCGCCTTCCAAACTGTTGATTGCACCGGGCGACAAGTTGAAGTTACCACCACGGCTCTGGAGTGCAAATCCGTACTTGTCTGGGATAATGCCTGTTCCGAAGGAGGTGAACACGGAATTGATGAAGGAGCACGCATTGCCGTCCTTGTCGGTGACGGTAAAGTAGACGGTGTCGGCTTTGTACATTGGGTTGGGCACTGGACCCTTGACGTGCTCTCCTTCAATCTGCTCACGCTGCAAAACAGCGTCCTTCTTGATCAACCGGGACCTTTTTTCGAGCGCCTCTTCGGTAAGGGCCTTCTTCACGTCGATTTCAGGGTGAAACTCGAGATCAGCCACAAGCTCCTCGGAATCGTAGAAAGCGAGTTTGACAGCCTCGGTGACAAAGTGCAAGTACTCGGCCGAATTGTGCTTGAGAGCACGTAAATCGATGTGCTGGGCCTTGGCAAGCTCCTTGATGTAGCCTAGCGCCAAAAGAGCCACAATACCCTGACCGCTGGGCGGAATTTCCCAGAGGTACTTGCCCTCGAACTCCATGTTCAAGAGCTCCACCTCCTGCGATCTGTGATTGGCCAAATCCTCGAGCTCCATAACGCCGCCCTTCTCCTGGAGCTTCTTCACAATCTGCTCGGCCACGTCGCCCTCGTAGAACCCCTTCTTGCCTTCCTTAGCCACCTTCAAGAACAAGTTCGCCAATGGCTCGTTCGTGAAGAAATCGCCCTCCTTGCAGAACAGCCCGTCGGCGTTCAAAAACGTATCGGCGTTCTTCCCGCTCTGCTGGATCAACTTCTTCAGCGCATTGGCCCACATTTTGGCTGCCACTGCTGAAACAGCGAATCCACCCTGGGCCAAGTCGATCGCCGGCTGGAAGATATCCAACAACGTGACGTTGCCGGACCCCCACTTCTCCACAGCATCAAGCCAGCCGCAAATGGCGCCAGGCACGGTCACGGCATGGACACTTGTCAAGGGCAAACGGGGTCCCTTCACGTCTGGTTCTGTTTTCCTCACAACGTCAATGTTGAGTTTCTGGGGCAGTTTTCCGTGGCCCGACAAGCCCTGGACCTCCTTTTTCTCTTGATCGTAGTAAAGCACAAAACAGTCGCCTCCTACGCCTGTGGAAGTAGGTTCAACAACACACAAAACCGCCAGAACCGCTACCGAGGCATCAACACAATTTCCACCTTTTTCCAAGATTCTGATACCTGCGGCGTTCGCCAATGGCTGGGTCAGCGCCACCATGCCCTTGGTGGAGTGCACGGTGGATCTTCTGGAGTTGAAACGAGAAAACATAAAGAAGTGGTGGTTGATATTTGGACGGTTTTGTGGGGTTCAGCCGTGCGTTATTCCGCGTCACGTGTGATAAAGCTGGGCAGAGATAACGGACGTGGGGGCAAGTGGGGGATCCACTGCTTCTTTTGATTTTGTTTTTTGTAGGGTTTTATGGAAAAGTGCTAAAAAGTTTGGGAATCGAGTTATTGGTGGAAGTTTAGTGACTATTGTCGGTCGCATGGATCGGCTATTCCAGTCGCGATAAGCCGACAGAAGCCGGGACAACGAACCGAAGGGCTTAGTCTGGTTGAAAATTAGGCCGAATTGGCTTAGAAACGGCTTTTTGTGGTTGGGTGTTGGGGAATTTGACTCAATTGATGATAATAAGTGTTTTATTGTTGTTGGTGGAGTCAATTGACCTAGGTTGAGTATCCGTGGGATTCTGAAAATTCCACCGAGCAAAAATGAACGAAAATGGGATTTGACCGTTGAGCTCTTCACTCGAGTCTTTTCTGCTCAATTACGTAAACTTAGCCTTTTGAGCACCGAAAAAACCTTAATGTTTGTTCGTTGGGCGGGAAAAGCCGAGAATTGTTTTTCTGGAGTACGGTTCATGAAGTCACCATTATGATCCGACCAATTGCTCAACCTCGGCGATTGGGATATTAGACTTGACAGGACCAATAAACAGCCCTATAAAGGGCTGAATACGTGAAGTTTGTTCGAATTCGGCGAGACGATGATGGACTGCTTCCTCCACCTAGACTAGTGCTATTACAGGAATAATCTTGCTACAAGAGTCGAGAAGCAGCATCGCAGCATTGACAGCATCGAGTCCAAGGCACTCCTTATGTGTTCACCAAGGCTCAATTCCTTTTGAAAACGACTCCAACGTTGAAAAACGTGAAAACCAGCCTCTTGGCCATTCGTACAATTCCTCCACCGTTATGACATCACTACGTCTACCGACCAATTCCGAGCTCTCTATAAGAGAATTAGTAAAACAGAAACCGAAAATCAGGATTTCTTCGCAATGTGTTTCAAAATCGATTATCAAAGCTGATTTTTGCAAAACTTTAAAATCGCCAGTAACAATCACCGGGTTTTCTAAAAGCAGGTGGTACGACCTAGGATGCGTATTTCACCACCCACAGATCTGCACCACCTTGAACCATCTACCCTGAAAAATATCAGCATTTTACCGAACTGCATTTCCCTTCAAAATCCGGATCCAAGAAAAATCCCACTAATTGACCGCTAGCCCGTTTTCAAAAGCCATCCCTGTTTGCAGCCATCCCTGTTTGCAGCCATTGCTCACCAGACCTCACCCTCCATATCTTCAAAATCAAAAATTCCAAAAGTCCAAAAGCCCGAAAACCTCAAAATTCCAAAATCGTCAAAACCCTCGAAAACGCCTCCTCGATAACGCCTCCTCGCTTTCCCACCAGGTGTGGCGATCTGTGGCTGGCGGGTACAGCTGCATCTGATCACACTGACATCACCGCAATTGCTACTTCTGGGCTCACAAACCACTCCACGTTCCAGCAAGCAACCAACAGAAAAACGAAATGAAAGAAGTTAAAAGAATACATAGAAAGCATAATGGTGGCAGAATCGGGACGTTCACGAAACCGTGACCCATGGAACCAAAGCCTGCTTCGACCCAGCCGTGCGATAAACCTAATCTCACCAAGTCCCCAATACAACCCACAGCAACCATATAAAACCACAATCGCGCTAAACCCCTACAGCCACGTCTCACGCTCGGGGTTCAGGGTTCAAGTCCGAGGTGCAAGCAGATCACCGCAACAGCAACCGTCCAACTATAAAAGGCCCCCTGCCCCACACTTTCCACATCCATCAGATTTTGAATCCACCAGATTTTGAAACCACCAAACTCCACCAATGTCTGCTCCTTCCGCTACAGAAGTCAAATTCAAGCTCAACGACGGCCACCTGATCCCCGCCTTGGGCTTGGGAACCGTTCCATCCGACGACCCTTCAAACACTAAGCTTGAAGTCCTCACTGCCATCAAGGCTGGATTCCGCCACATCGACACAGCCTGGTACTACGGCACGGAAAAGTACGTGGGCGAGGCGCTCAAGGAGTTGTTTGACGAGGGCGTCGTCAAGAGAGAGGACATTTTCGTCACCACCAAGGTGTGGCCTTCTTTCTGGCACAACCCGGAAAAGTCCTTGAACACGTCCTTGGAGACCTTGGGTCTCGACTATGTGGATCTTCTTTTGCAGCACTGGCCCATTGCGCTTCACGGCGACGCCAAGGGTCTTCCTGCTGTGCCTAAGGACGACGATGGAAACTTGAAGTACGACGATGATCCTGTCAAGGGTACCAAGTTCCTTGGCGTCTACAAGGAGCTCGAGAGACTCAAGAACACCACCGACAAGGTCCGCTCGATCGGCGTTTCCAACTACAACATTGACCGTTTGGAGTGGCTTCTCAAGGAGGTCGAGACGGTGCCAGTGCTCAACCAGATCGAGTTGCACCCACAATTGCCACAGCAGGATCTCGTGGAATGGGCCGAAAAGCACAAGATCTTGATCGAGGCCTACTCGCCCGTGGGC